ACGCGGCCATGGGAGATCGCGGCCTGCGACTTGATGGGACCCCTGCCGCGGTCAAGCGGAGGCTATCAACATGTGTTGGTAGTCACTTGCCACTTCACCGGATTCGTCGAGATGTTTCCAATGCGGAAGGTGACAGCCAAGGGAGTCCTGAGCAGGCTGTCCGAGGTCTGGTGTCGCTACGGGTTCCCCGAGAGACTGGTGAGTGACAACGCCTCGATATTTTGCTCGAAAGTCTTCGCGGCAACCTGCCAGGCCCTCGGGATTAAGCATTGTAAGACTTCGTGTTACCATCCCCAAGCAAATGTGACCGAGCGGCGGAACCGCGACATCAAGCCGCTGCTCGGGGCGTATGCTCGAAAGCAGCGGGACTGGGATCTGCATTTGGATTCGATTTCGTTTGCATTGCGGTCCAACCTCAACCGCAGCACTGGGTTCACGCCTGCGCTTTTGAACTTCGGCAGAGAACTCTCTACGCCGACCGATGCGGTTCTTCGCCCGCGACAGAGCGCGGCCAGAGCGGTGCCCTCGCACGAGGATTTCGCGACGCGCACAAGAGAGCGACTGTCGCGGGCGCTGGACGCCGCCCGCGGAAACAGGGCTCGCGCGCGGGCGGAGCAGAAGAACACCTATGACAAAGCGCACCGCGATGCGCAGTTCGAGGTGGGCGACACCGTTCTGCGGCGAAGTCACGTGCAGAGCGATGCGAGTAAGTTCTTCTCGGCGGCGTTGGCCCCCAAGTGGGTTGGCCCCTTTGTCATCGATTCCAAGAAGTCTCGACTGACATACACGCTGAGGGACCAGAATTCTGATCTCGTCCGCGGGACAGTTCACATCGGCGAACTGAAACCCTTTTTCCCCAGGGAAGGGGATGAGCCAGTCAAGCGGCCGCAAAGGGGCATTCGCGGGCGCCAACGATCTCAGGAGTTCCTGGGACCACCGCGGCACAGCTACAACACGCGTAGCCGGAGGCAACCCGATGGGATCGGAACCTCGTAGAGTGCGTGGCCCGGGAAAGGGAAGAAGAGGGGGGACGATCCGAAATCGGCGTTCCCGGCATTTTTTTTTATTGTTTTTCTTTGTGGGTGGGGGGAGGGTGCCTCGGAACCCTCAGTGTTTGTTATCTTGTTTTTGCTTTGAATGTTTTTTTCTTGTTTTTTTGTGTGCGGCGTCGCTGTTGGTGTTGGGGTACTGCTCCCTCGCTGGGCGCACGCCTTGGACTTTTCCCATCTTGTGCGTCATCGCCCCTGCAGCTGCTGCTTCGAGACGCAACTTGGTGTGCACCGAATGGTCCTCTCTGGGAGGGATGAAAGGAGGAGTCGCCGTTTGGACAAACACCAGCTTGGGCTGAGCTCCTCGTCTTCTGGCAGCGTATTCCCCGGCAGGAACCACAGCTCGGGGAGCCTTGTGGGATGTCCGCGACGCCACGCAGGACGCCGGGGTGCAGTTCTCAGTGACACTGGGCTTCCAGCCCCGCATCGTTCCGGGAGGGCGGTCGCAGCTGGGTCGCAACCACAGTCCCTCTCCGGTGCACCACTCTGTGGAGGGGCCAGTCTCATGGTGGCCAGGCACTCTGCTCAAGGACCCCGTTGCCCCGGAGGCCGCCGCCAAGCCGAAGTCGACACAGCCTACTGTGAGGTGTGTGGTGGCCGCGCACCCCAGGTCTCGGGCGAACTGATGGACCTCAGTGAGGACGACCTATGGGACCAGCGGTGTGTGTGTGCGTGTGGGGGGTCTCCAGGCCAAACCAAGCGACGGTGTTCCCAGCAGCCTAGCCGTACGTCTGAATTCCGGCGTACTTCGATTTTTAGGAGAGGGGAGTATGGCGCACCGTGAATTCACGGGGCGCCCATCAAACCATTCGGCCAATCTTGGCCGCGACACGATCACATGGTCGTGTTGCCGCGGGGTCGATCGGGATCTCGAATTCGGCTCCCGACGCGCCGCTTTCTCTCCTAGCCACTGGAGGGCGCTGCAGGCGCCCCCGTGGCAGGCGAGGAGAAACCTCCTCGCCCATCGACATATATACTCGGTGGGGCAGGGGGCGAGAGGCCTCTAAGAACTTCGGACGAGACCGAGACGCAGGCACTGGCAGGCAAGTGGGTGGCGACCGGATCTAGGATATCGCGGGACGCGAGGCCTAAGGGCCTCCTTTGTGTTTAGCTTTAGCCTTAACGTGCATTTGTAAATAATTGTGTAATGTAGCTTGTATTTGTAGTTTAGATTGAGTGTTTTGTAGTGTTGTGTTTTATTGTACCAATAAACTGGGAGCGGAATCCCGCTCCCGTGAAAGAACCAGGCTGGACTCGGGTTGTTGACGGACCACGTGGGAAACTGCGAATCGGCGGCGGTACGCGAATTCCCACAAGCGACAAACAGCAACTACTGACAGCAACCAACGAGAGCACATTATGCGTTCTGCGTCAGTTGGCTTAATGGGAAGTACCAAGGTAAGCTCAAATTTCTTTTTGGTTTTCTTCTTTCTTGGTTTTTGAGATACTATTCACAGTCAAGTGAGAGACTACATGTTTTGTCGTCAATAACTTGTTTTGCAATGTACAAAGAGTACAGACGCAATCTAAAATTGTACTTACGGCGCACTGAGTATTTGCGTTTGCCACAAATGTTCTGAAAGATGTAATCGGCAGAAAAATATACTTTCTCCGAATATATGTCTCGTCTAGAGGTCAATCATTCATAGACCCTTTTCATGGCAAATGGCACCAGGCGGTGCTCCAGTCTTGATGCCCCAGAGAACTTCCGATTCATAAAAAAAATAACAACGCTCACCTTAACACTGCTCTTTGAAGTGTCAATGAGATGTTTAACCACCAGTTCTTTAAGTGAATGCCAAGAGGACGAAGCACGAGATCTGTTAAACTTTTTCTAATCTTTTTGTTAACCAATTTGCCTCCTGTAAGACATTTACCTTTAAATTGTACAGCCGAAGGCTCTCTTTAAAACCTCCAACTTTGTTGTCCGTGTAGCATTTATGCTTTCTAGCAGTACTGACATAAGCAAGCTCGACAGGCTTGCAAAGACGGAGCGACCGGAAGTCGCTTGCGAAGCAAGCAGCACTTCATGCTTGTAGACAGTAGAATGGCCTATAATGAAAAGAAGTCTTGTGTGTATTTTTGCATAGAGAACAGAGAGGTGATCACTGTGACTTGTGAAAGGAGACTGCAATGAATGACTGAGCAGAGGTTACACAGTGCCACAGACAGCAACCGGCGATGGTACACTGAACACGTCCACTTGAGCATGTCTGTCATGAGTACAGAATCCTCTCGCAGATTATATGTTAGAAACCCCTCCAACTGATCGGAACAATTTCCACTTCACATGCTTTCTGAAAAAGCAAAGGGAAGCCTTTTAAGGAAGGACACTACCTGGGCGCGTCTACTTTTGAACTGCTCACTCGATCGGCGTGAAATTTGCAGCTGGTGTTTGTAGCCATACAGAAGGACGGCGTGCAAATTTTCAGCCCTATAAACCAATTTTAGGAGGTACTATACCCCCAGAACGTATTTGTATGGAATCTGCTCAATGAATCTATCATTGAGAAATGGCGTTGATCACCACATATTTTCCTGGTGGAATGCATACTGGAATACCTGTTGCCGGTTACTATGAAAAGAAATATAAAAAAATATGCATTTTTCAAATAAAACAAAATTTATTAGTTTTCTTTTTTTTCTATATTTGCCAAGTTTTGCAAATTACAATTTTTCATAATAAAGGAACATGAAAATGCAAAATCTAAGTTCCATAGTAACCGGCTCGATAAAATTTCGGCATATAATCCGCAAATATTAAGTTTCTCGGAAGTTTCATACTGAAACAATAGTTTTATTAAGCTGGGATTTGCTGCCAAAAGTGAAGCTGAGATAAATGCACTTGAAGTTTCAAGATGACGTTTTATATATTTCTTTTTGCGTCTTAAATGTCCGAAATTCTTTTCAGCAGTGTAGGTGATATCTTCCTCAAACTTCTTCCGATATAATGACATTGCTTTCTGCTATTTTCACTTGTGGATGACAAGTGCCTAAACAGTGCAGCACATCTCATCAACATTTAAAGAATAATTATTTTTGCCATTGTCAGTGCACATTGACAAGACCTTGTGAGAGTGTTCCTTGTTATCCATACATGCCAAAACTCTGCAGTTCTGAATATGCATTTTTTTGGAAAAAAAAAGGTGCAATTCAAGGTAGTGTCCCCCCTTAATGCAAAATGTGCTATACGGCTGGCAAGTACCGTAGCAGTTTCCGGATACATACTTCTGTAAAGGAAGGCGATCACACAACTACTGTGTCCGCATTTGCCTTGAACTCTGAGTTAAGTGTTCTGAAACTTTTTAATCTGAGGATCGCCTCGGTTAGCAGCCAAAGAGGCCCTCCTGGTGTCGGCACTGATTCAATAAAGCAGTTGAGAAGCTTACGAATCTTTGAACAATAATGCGCGAGCTAAGTTGGCTTAAAGTTATGCATGAATGGGTGGCTGAGGCACGCTAAAATAGAGCTTAAAATGTCAAAGCACTTCGCCCCGGGCAGGAATGGTCGGGGAAATTTGTGAGCTGGAAGAAAGGGAACTCTAGAGAACTCTTGAGTCCTAGGAATCCAGTTTGAGAGCCCGTGCTCTAATCATGGCTTAGTTAATTGCTCTAGCAAAAAACATATGCAAAACAAAGAGCAGCGGCAAACAGTAAGAATCTCCGGAGAAGGGGAACAAGAGGGAGAAAGTACAAACACGAATCTCGATACCAGGAACAGGCAGGTGTTTTCAGCGCGCTATAGTCACCTAGCTGTGTTTGGAAATTTGTTTTTGTCCTTTGTACCCCCCGTGTTCCCCTTCTCCGGGGATTATTATTGTTTATTTCGTCCAGCTCGCCCGCACCTTCACATTATTTGCATCAACAGCAGCGACAGTTTGCCGAGCTTGGCAAAGGTGGCTATAGGCACCCTGTCGACTCGAGATGGCTAAAGTGTGGACGAGCGGCAGACCTTCGTCAGTGCTGCTTCGGCAGAGGCGCATCTTGTGCAAAGAGCGCACCAGGCCTGGCCAGGTGGCGCAGCTGAAGGGTGCCACGTGCGGCGGCTCCTGGGGGACCTGGAGCAGCGTCACCAAGCGCAGCTGGGAGTGGCAGCCCAGCTCCACAGGAACATCACCTGTGCAAGGAGACTCCTCGTTCCTTGCTCCTCCCCGAATGATGTATACTTCCTAGTGTCTATTCGTCTATTCACAACTTATTGGGTTTGTGGAATCTAACTTGTTTTTTCCTTCTGCTCAACATTGATTTAGGAAAGCTTTTTCATGCGAAACGTAGCTCCTCTCCATTACTAATGATTTTCATGCTGCTTTTGATCAGGGACTCCAGATGGACTGCATTTTTCTTGATTTCGAAAAGCTTTTGATAAGGTACTGCATAAGCTCCTTTTATATAAAACTAAACAAGCTTAACATTGATTGTAACATGTTTAGTTTGATTGGAGCTTTTTTAACTGATCATTCCCAATTTATATGTCGCAACAGTATTAGCCCCACTTTTACACCTGTTTCCTTTGGAGTACCCCAAGGGTCCATCCTAGGTCCTTTACTCTTTCTAACCTATGTTATTGACTTACCGAGTATTGTTTCCCACGTTTGTTTTGCCCGAAAATTTAACTAAACGTGAGAAAACCCGAAAAACTTCCGACCAGTCGTGACGTCCTACCTTTGGAGACCCAAAGATATGTTGTATCTTTGGACCTCCAAGCAGGGTATCGGAACAAAACGAAAACCAAAAACGAAAAACGAAAAAAAACGATATTTTTTGGCGGAACGGAAACGTAATCGAAACGTTATTTATTATTTTGTTCCGGAGTGAAACCGAAAAATTTTTTTATCGGTTTTCGGTTCAAGGGAAAATATCAGGTATTTCAGTAATTCGTTTCACGCAGCGAAGAGACAGCCGTTGGTTTGTACCATAATTAAAGAGAAGACAAGCAAGCCATCGCCCCCGCGTCTAAACTCCGGGCGAACAAGCATAGCAAAAACAAAGACAAAAAATACAACGAGAAACAAAAAACATGACGCAAGGCGCCATTGCTTCCCACCAATGAGAGCGCGGTGGCGCGACGCCTCCACACGCTCGCAATGCTCTCCTTGGCTCTTGCGCCCTCTCCCTCTATGCTTTCTTCGGACGACACAGACAGACAACAGATCACGGCAAGCGCGGGAAGTTTGTGACCCGGCGTTGTAGAAGTCAATTTTTGGTTTTTCTACGGATACGGCAGTCTGAGACTCTGTTGCAAAAGTGTACTTCTTGATCCCTATGGGCCTTCAGGGCCTTCTCGGCGCTGAAATTTATTTTATCGGACCAGAGGTCTTGCCTTTCACCGAGCACACTTGATGACGTGCTGCTTCTGAGATCATGGTCGGTGCCTTGATCATGATCTCATTCTCAAGGCAACGAACATGATCTCAGAAGCAATGTCGTTTCCGCGGATTCCTCTAGAGCGCCTGAATTATCTATTTTTGTGTAAAAATAAACGTTACGTTCCTTTTAATTTTTGCTGCGATTTTTTTTTTTTTCATAGAAAGAAACCGTTACGAACCGTTACGGAGCATTATTTTTTCGTTCCGGAGCGGAAACGGAACGGAACTTTTTTGTATGGAACGAAAATGAAAACGGAACGAAAAACATTTCGTTCCAACACCCTGCCTCCAAGCATGTATCGCTCGTGTGGGCAGCGCGTGCAATTGCAAGCTTGCCAGGTACATTCCCCTCCACCTACACCAGTCGTGACGTCGCTTTCTGACCTTTCTGAAAACAGCAAGAGGGCACGTGCATGGCTTTGACGGGCACTGAAGATGCGCGAGAGCGGAGATTCTGAAAAACCCTGGGAAGGAGGCGGCTTCGGCGGTACTTTAAAAATTAATTTCTGCACCCTTCGTGCATCAAACTGAAAAATAATCTGGATATTTGTGATCCTGGAGGCCAAATGAAGAGGATTTAGGTGTTTTTCCTCAAATACGGAACCGTTTCAGTTTTCCTTTAAGGTTCGCTCACAGACCTGCGTCGACTGCATTATGACGTGCTGCACAGCACCTTCCCATTAGCTCGTTGCAAAGGTCGCCATAGCAATACCTCAATGGAAGCAGTCTTAACAAGGCGCAAGTGGTTGCAGTCTCACTCAAACGCAACTGTGTGAACGAGCCTTTACTCCTACATAGTCTCAAACGTCGCCGCAGAATCTCTAGTGTCTGTCTTCTCAGGGAATATTCCATCACAACCCCATACTAAAAGATCAGCTAATAACCCCACCATCTTTTGTTCCTTCCCGCCTCGATCATTTTTAGAAGGTCGGCGTCCCATTTTGTCGCTACTATAACATATTTTACGCATCTTTCATCCCAAGAGTGTCAAACGACTCTCTTGGGATGAAGGCTTGGGAGAGTGTCAAACGACTCTCACATCAATTTTTGATAGTGCTCTTTTTTGCTCAAGTGTTAGTAACCACATGTTTCCAAAGGTTTAATCTTTGTTCATGTTATTTTTATTGTTTCATTTTTTTACCACTCCCCTCTGTTATGCCTTTGGCCCTAATAGTACAATAAATAAATAAATAAATATTGTGACTAAAGGTAGGGGTCGAGTTTTGGAGTTTTTCCTGGAGCCGACTTTAGCTGCAAATTTTTGTTTGCTTGCTTAAGATTTTAAGTTCACACGCTAACTTTGAAATGTCTAGCTTTCTTTGTTTCCTGTTTTTTTCTTTAAGTTTTCAATTTAGTGGAATGATTGTTTGCTCGCAAAAATATTATATAAAAGAAAAATTCACTTCTTTTAGGGATGACTTTGTTCTACTGCTAAACTGTACTACTTTTGGAGTTTTTCGTGGGACTCTAGGTGTTGTTTAGGTCATTGAGATTTTCCACCCTTTGTGCGCGTTTCAAGGAGCCAGTCTCCAGATACATGGCAAATATATGGGATGCATAGATTTGAAATTCCAGAAATCAATAGCTGCTTGCCCACAGCATCCCATGTGCGTACGTTTTCCATAAGATTTCCAGGACACCTTGTTGCAATAGTTATTACAGACTGGCCAAAACAAGTCTAATTTTCTGTTGTGACCAGGGTGTAAGATAGACAGGTGGGGAAACGGCCCATAGAAGCCTACCGCAGCGCCTAGACTGGATTGTGTACTCGTCTGCTTGCGGGTACCCCCGATTTGCGACAGATGGCGCTGCGGCGAGAGGAAACAAATTGGAATCGGATTTGCATGGAACTCTGTGGGAGAGTGCGCAAAATAAACCGAGAGCACGACACTCCTCCATTGAAAATCCACGAGAAACCATCTCCATCAGTTTAGCCGGTCGCCACCGGTCGCCCACCTGGAGTGAGAGTTTGCGGTGCTCCACATAGATGGCGCCACAGAAAAAGAGAAAACCGAGGGGGACACAATCCGGTCGCTCATTTGGCTCTTGTTTCCCCACCTGTCCATCTTACACAATGGTTGTGACACACATCAGAAGAAATAAATAGAAAAAAAGTAGACCAATTATCTTTAAAACAGGCAGATGAGCAGATATTTACCAGTAACTGTTTACCAGATTTTTACGCATTTATCTGGAAACATGAATTTTAGTTACAGGCAATTAAACCTGGAATGTTTCCTGCATTTCTTTCTCGCACTGGAGAGCATCGAGATAATGTGTTCCATTCTTTATCAACATGACACCTAAATTTGGAGTGCAAATCCACCTGGTCTGTCCATTACAAACTCAACCATAATTAGACTTGCCAACCATCATAAAAAAAAAAATGGCAAGTGAAACCATCAACACTGCAGCACAAGAAAACAGCATCCTCATTGCCCAGGAACGGGAACACAGCATACATCAATATGGGGTAGCTATATCACCATATCTGCAATACTTTACTAAACCTGTTCAACCAGCTTACCAAAGTACTGCAGTAGAGATGCAAACATAGAGGAGGCAAGCTCCTCAAGAGAACTTTAAGTATTAAGTTTTACCGGGCACGAGCTGACTATACCGTCACTACGAGCAACCTCAATACCAGCGTTCATTTCTGTTCTTCTTTCCAAACAAAGACACTAGAAAACATGAAAAAATAAAAAGTGCATAAAAGCACACGCTTCAATCGCATTGTGGTGAAAAAATTAATCGCAAAGCTATGGTGGAGTAACTGTATGTGTTGAAAGAGCGGCACATCTGCTGTCTTCTTATTGGCCACCTCTATCTAAAGCAGCTTACCATAAAATACCGGGCAAGCGCCCACCCAAAATTTTGAGATAATCCTGAAACAATGGGGGATGGGCGCTTGTCTGGTCATCAATTCCCCATATCAATGTACTGTGCATATTTTCTGAGATTTTACAAATTTGGAAATGGGCGCTTAATGTGGTATGGGCGGATGCACGGTATTCTACGGTAATTGCCAGTCAACTATGTAAAACACAAGGTTCTATTAAAGTCCCTCGATCAAACTTGCGCCAACAACCATCGCTGTGCGAACACCCAAGACATGTGCTACAAGCGAGTGCCCTGCCACCACTTGCAAACGGATCGAGAGGCTTTAGGTTCCATGTCATGGTAGGCTGAATGAGCATCATGTACCTAACTTTCGACCGGGGAGTACACACCGATTCGGGTGGGCAAGCCCTCGGCCGTTTTGCTGGGTTGAAGCAGGCAGGCAAGCTGTTGAGCGGCCACAATGTTGAGGTGAGAGAGCGACGCGTTCTTCACGGCCCAGCGCTTGCTAGCCACGTGATGCAGTCCGTCGTTGTTTAGGACAATGAGAGCGTCAGAGGAATCTTGCAGGTGGGACAGTGACAGCACTGCGTTGTAAGCCTGCACGGCCACCTCCCCCGAGCTGAATGGCCGCACCACCTGCGAGGTGACGCCGGCGGTCTGGCATTTTTTGCAGCTGGATATGCAAAAACGAGAGCAACAAAAACAACACCACGTGTCTAGCTTTTGGCCTCGGTAAACATCAGGACAACTAATTAAATTTTTGCAGTTTATTTTTCACCAAAAAATGGCTCCTGGTAGAGGATCGTCTTGAAAACATCACTGTTACTAATAAAACTGCGTAAGAACATATTCTAAAACAAACTAGATGACCACTAAATTGCACCCATACTTGACATGAACTACGGTAGTGTCCTGAGAAATGCCCCACCCCCTAAAAGATAACCCACCACTATTTCGGGCATGATTCCAAACTTTATTAAAAACACAGAAAGATAGTCTATTTTTGGTAATTGTAGGGCCCTGGTCAATGGTGACCTTGGCAGAAATGGTGTTAGTAAGCCACGACAGGAGATAAGTGAACATTGCTGACAGGGAAGGACAGTTGTCTTTGGTTCATTGCCCTAGCTCCCTGATATCACAAGTTTTTTAGGTGGCAAAATCTATAATTAGCATTTTTTTTTTACTTTTTTTATTGCACATTGAAAGTTAGCCTATTCTTCATTTTCACCCAATTTGCTTTCGATTTTAGGTGGGCTATTTCTCGGGATACTACTGTAGTATTTTGTGCTCTTTTCAGGAATAGCGTAGCTTCCAGAGCGCCGAAGCCCCGCGGTGCTGCAAGAGCACACGAAATTGTCTTGCATCTCATCTCCACGCGCTCTCATGCGAAAGGGAGTCAAACAAAGCCACACGGTTGCGCAAGTAGCTTTGAAATCACTGGAGCACTGTACAAGCCACGCTGGCTAGCCATAATAACGCACCATAAAATAGTTGATGCCAAGTATAGTGGATCCCCCCCTAAACTTCACTGGGATATTTGTTTGACACCTGTCTCTCCAGAGGAGCAATGTAATTCAATTCAGATTTTTCAGCTGAATCTTGAAATTAGTACGAAAATTTCTTGCTTCCATTTATCACAATGAAAAATTTTTTTTTTTCTTTGTCTCGACTATTTTTATTGACGCCTACTCACAATGTTTACGAGTGGGGTGTTTGGGTAGTCTTGACTGAGAGCCTCTGTAACCTTGGTGCCAAGCCCACTGCCAGTTCCGCCACCGAGCGACATTAGGGGGAGAAAACCGTCTAGCCAGTCACATCTCTCCACGCGGCGTCGTATCAGCTCCATGATGCTGTCCAGGCCTCTCTCGGCATGTTCGATGTAGCCAGAGGCCCAGTTGTTTCCGGCTCCTTGCTGATGAGTGTAGCACGAGTCCTTCGCGTAGTGCCATTGATTGCTCCGGCAGGCATCAACCAGTGCTTTGCCCACGACCTAGGAATACATATAAAAGTAGCGAAGTTTGGGAAAGCTCGGAGTGTCAACAAGTTTAGGAAAATTTGTACGATGAAAGGGCTACAGTTCCAGTCAAAACCTAGTTTTAGTGGTTCCAAAAGAAATACCACAAATATTAAAAGTGAATGCCAAGTAACGAGCAATGAAAAAGGAAAGCCCAATTGTTGAACGCACACTACTTGGGGACAAGTCAAGAATGCAGGGCGAGGAGAGAAAGAGAGAGCGCACTGAAGGCTGAAATAGAGAGGAGAAACCTCCTATCTCCTTCAGCCTTCAGTGTGCTTGTTATTTCTCCCCTCGCCCTGCGTTACTGACTTGTCCCCAAGCGTAGCATTCTCATATATGAGTATGTTACAGTACACGACTAAAACTAAGAATAATCGAGGGCAATAAATGAAGGGCAGTTTTTTTAGGTGCAGCATGCTACACCAAAAAAAGTATAAGTTGACTGGCACCACCTAATTCAGAAGTCTCCAAACGCCAGCCCGCGGGTTAGATCCAGCCCGAGGAGGCCTTCTGACCGGCCCGCGGCTGGCCGCGGTACTTCTAGTGATGCCCTGCCCGCAGCCAGCTTCCAACAGGTCCGCTGCTACCAGCACAAAAATAAGTGTGAGTACAAAGAAAAAAAACGGTGCCGTGATGTGCGCAAGAAGATAGCAAAAAAAAAAAAACAAATATGTATTTAGTTTTTTTTTTTTTTTTTTTTTTTTTTTTACTTTACATTTTTATATTTATATCCCGGTTCTCGAAACTGCGACCAACCCCCAATTTGGCCCCTCAGCAGCCAAAAGATTTGGAGACCCCCTGACCTAATTGATCAATCATTTTCATTTGTTGCAGAAATATTACTCCTTAAGAACCCTAACTGGGCATTACTATACAAAAAATCCAAAAAGAAAACCCAATGTGCATTCGATTTTTTAGGTTAATTTTGATGGCATGGAGGCTCAATTATACATAAGCAAACAACCATAGAATTCAGAGGGCGTCCACTGGACCTGGTGTCTAGGCTACGCTAGGAAAAAAGTATGCTGGAAGTTTTTTGGGAGTTGAGAGAACTTGCTGTTAGTAGACACTCCTTCCGGCCTCTCTACCTCACCAAAATCTGCCACGACATGGCTAAAATATATCAGAGACTCAGAAGAAAACAAAGTATGAATGAGCTTTATAACTTAAAACTCCGACAATGTGCTCGGAACCAGTTCACTGGAAGACTTGCAGCTCAAGGGCACTGATGTAATTGGCATACACACCACCTTTTCACAACCGTAATATCTTTGCTGAAAATGAGGCTTTTACAATGAAACTACATGATGGGCAGAAACGGTGTTCTCACTTACGTAATATTAGCTATAACTTAGCAGCTGTGGCTGTTCCATAGCCCCAGCGCCACATAGCAGGTGCACTTCGAAACACCGCGCATACCTTGTGCGGCCGAATTGTTCTTTCAGGCTGTGATCACACCCTCTCCCTGTCGTCTGCTGGCGCATAGTAGACGCTAACCCAGCACTTACTGATGTCTGCTTCATGTGATTCTGTGGGTGCCCCTTTCAGTACGATGATTCCCTGACTCATGGAAACGAGTTGGCCAAACAGCCAACAAGTGGGACACACAGAGCTAAGCATAATCGTTGCCGATGACTGTGTACCTATCTGGGTAATTACTTTTATTAAACAGACAGATGCCCGTTCCTTGCTCTTACTTGTGTCAGAATTTCTGCGCTAATTATGCTTAGCTCGGTATGTCACCGTTGTTAGATGTTTGGCCGACTCGTTTCCATGAGTCGGGGAATTTCTGTGCCAAGAAGGGACACACAGAAGACTGTAAAGCCAACATTGGCAAGTGCTGTGGCGGCGGCTGCTTTGCACCTAGCAGGTGACAAGGAGAGAGTGTTATCGTAACCTTGAAGAGCGATTCCGCCTTACGGGGTAGGCGGGGTGGAACGGCCATGGCTAATGTGTTATCCGCTCTTTCTCGCACGAGTTGAAACGTAGTGGTGCCAGCGTGCATATAGCCCTCAAGCACTTCCGGTTCCCAACTAAACGGCGAGTTTCACAGTATTTGCAAGATTAAGTCGAAGCGCTATTTTCGGAAAATGATCGCTTATCCCACTCTTACACATAATTCATTCTTACAGAAAAAGAAAGATATGTAAAATTTTTAAAAATATGCCCGGACTGGAAGTGCGCTAGGGCAAACGAATAGATGGCACCACTGAGTTTGTTGCCAAACAAAAAAAAAGGAATAGCTAGAGTTTCTGCGATAGTATGGTGCCTTGAACGCGTCTCCGCCTGGTGTGTTTACCGCATCCCAAAGAGTGGTCCCTCGATTTCTGCCTGACGACGTCAAAGAAGTGTCATGCCGTCGCCGGTCGCGATCCTGGCGGTGTCCCAACAGCTGTGGTGTATGTGGCTGACGCCTGTTCTGCTGCAGGTCGATATCCAGTGCGGATGTCCACGGAAGCTACAGCAGCCAGAAGTTGAGGCGCCGAGACGACAGCGACACTCGCATTCAGTTGTGCTACTCGCAGCCTTCTCGTTAGCATTTCTACGACCAACCGCCAGAATCACGACATGCAACAGCATGACACTCCGGCTTCTGTGACGTCCTTTGTCGCCACTTTGGGACCACTTTGATGTATGGGCAGCATAGGATGCTAAACATCCCAGTCGAAGACGCGCTCCAGGCACCATAGCAATAGTATGAGAATACAGGTTGGGAGGACAAGAATTCAAAGGAAAATGTGAAAAATGGGTTTTAGCACAGCTGAAAATGTTTGTTCAACCTCTATCTTTTTATGTGTCCAGTAGGAATTTCGGACGACTGGATAATCGCAGCAGAGTACTAGTTGGGCCAATTGGTTTATATAGACGTGTAGAAAAAGGACACAGTACGCCTTGTTTCGCTCTACCTGTTCCGTCCTTGCCCGCTTCGGTGCTTTTTCTGCACGTTGACTAGACAATCCACGTCGGGCACAAAGGCAACGCTCGGAGAAACCCAATGTATGAGTCCTGGAACTTGGCTTACTCAAATCCTTATTTTTCCGCTCCCCACATGTGGGTCGGCCTTTAAATTCCGGCACGATGCCTTTGTCTCGGAAACACCTCTGCCACTCCACCTGGTAAGACCCTCATCACCGCTAAGTTAGCATGAATATGCGGACTGTAGTAAAATACCTGTCGACCAGAGAACTACAGATCGCCCTGCCGTGCACGCGATTGTCCGACTCTGCGAAGAGTCGAATCCCAGAGAAAAGCTCACCGCAAAACCGGCGGATGCAAAGAAAAGCTCAAGGGCCATTGAGCGTATCGGAGAAAAGCTCACTGATTTTTTTTTCTTCTTTTCATATGGAGGCTGTTGAATCATGCATAATATGCATCAATTTATTATCATTAAAAATCGTCAGCCTTGTAAAAAAGAAAATGCCCTTTTTTGTATTATTGGATATGCTTGTTTTCGGGTAAAACCCGATTTTTCTCGATTTTTACACCCTGAACATGTTTCAGGAGAATCAGGTTAAACCCGATTTCTCCCCGAAAACCAACCTATTTATTTTTACGCCGCACGGAGTTTGCGGTGCACACACGCTATCTACCCTACCTCGGGACAACAGTGACTCATAGTTCATTTCACAAGCTGTGGGCAGCACTGCTCTCCACGGAGGCCGGCTGAAGAAAAGTGGCAATAGGCGTTGGGGATTCGGAGGGCCATTGCCATTTCCGCTGTGCAGGTGGAACCGCCTCGGCACGGCACGTAGCTTCGGCCCTGCTGCACAGAGCTTGTGAAATGCGGTACCAATCCCCCTTTCACCGCTGTTAGGTGTCAACGCCCAGCAGGGTCTCTCAGGTAGCATAGGCATCTTGCTGGCAGTCTACCTTCCTCACGAACAACCTCCGAGCCAGTCAGTCGCATAAACAGATCGGGACAACTTAACAGGTTTATTCCATAGCGAAATATCTGATCGAAGACGACAGTCCCTCGAAAGGTCGGGGCTCCTGTTCTGAGGGGGAGGAGGGTTTCATGGGAGATGCCTCCATTGAAACGACCGACGGCAATCGGAGCTGGAAAACCAACTGGAAGCAGATCCCTAATTTTAACACGCTAGCATTAAGAAGCTCGTAATATCCTGTGAGAAAAAAACCAACAAAAAGAAACGAATGTATTACTGAGTACATTTTTAAATTTAACCCGAAAAAAACCAGAATTTCGGAATGTTTCCACAAAAAACCCGATTTCTCCCCGAATATCAGCTTGACAAATAGGACCCGATTTTTACCCCTCACATTTAAAAGAATATAAAACCCGAAAACGAACAACCCTAGGTATATGGCTCCGAAATTAATAATTGCAGGCGAGTGTTTTCTGTGGCTTACTCTCTAGGCAATGAAAGCCTAACTGAAAACTTCATGAACTTGAAGAACAGGAAAAAGTTCAAAAACTTAATAATGTATTCTTAAAACTTAAAAATCAAAAGTGTAATTGCCGAAAATCCAAAAGTCCACGTGCAGCAACGCGGTGCCTGAAATTCTCTTTAAAGCTTTTGTTAACCTTTGAAAACAGGATAAAACAGTCAGTAGGATATAGAGGATTCTTTGTTTTGCGGACATGCACGTTTTCTAGGCATTCGTGCTGGTGTTTCGTACTGTTGCTTTTGTGTGATAGTGCCCCTCTACGGTGAGCCACCCATGACCTTCACAGCTGCACACTGGCACCGTTGTTACTCATGACCTATATAAGAAGTAGTCGTCTGTAAGGTAGCGAATAGGGTGAGTTGGTAAACGTTATACATGATGAAAACCGCTCAAACGACGACAACGGAGTGAAGACAACAAACATGACAGGACGAGGCTGTTCTCGCAACGAAAGTTTTGTTAGTGAAATTAACACAAAGAAAACAACGTAGCCGACACTGATTCCATCAAAAAAAAACTATTTATCTATTAGGCACTGCACAATGTTTGGAGCTGAAACGGTTCACACACCGCCATTCTTGTTAGCTCGCAAAGAACAAACCTCTATCACACAGAGCTACCGACGGCACACTCTCAGTTGTCAATAAATTGTTGTATTTTATTACCGGTGTACGATGTTCTGATTTTATACTTGCGGCTTCATTAATATACAGAATGAGAGATTACTAATTTTTGAGGAATTAGTAAAATTACAAAAAAAGAGGACATATTTTTAATGAACTGACGAACTGCCACGTTTGACGCAGAATCCGCATCCACTCAAGGGCCGGTGAGCTTTTCTCCGCATTAGCCAATTTTGCGGTGAGCTTTTCTCCGGTGAGCTTTTCCCCGCCGCCCGAAGAGTCAGCGGCACGGAAGGGATGAAAGAGTGAAAGCTCTCCAGATCGAAGGTTAACGTACCTTTTTCTCTGTATCGATCAACACGGCGCTAGCTACCAGTCCGTCCTTGGAGTCACTTGTGAAGAACCTAGATCGGAAAGAATTTGGAGTGCGAATCATTCTCAGCACCAGCGCAACGTGAAGAGCGGTCATTTACCTTTCGTTCGACTGTTGGCAGTACTTCTGGCTGTATCCATTATAACATTCGGCACTCTCTGCACGTCTGATGTCTTGAGAAAGCACATTAAAGAACTCAAAGCCGAGCTGGTTACCACACTGACCAATTTGCACGGTTATTATGCTCATTTCGGCATCATGCCCACTTCGAAGGAGCCGCCATGATTGTGTCATCAACATGTGATTGATTGCAGAAGATGGGAGGAACAGTGATCGTCGCATTATTTAGTAAAATAGTTTAATTCATTAAATATAATTGCTTTGTTTATGTTTTTTTGTGGGTCAATTTCTTTAGCATTAATGGCGTTGACCACAGTTGCGCCCGGTTGTGTCGGCCGCTAGGTTCGCTAAGTTTGTTTACAAGATGGCGGCGCTCTTGCGGCAGACTGCTTTTCTCAGCAGAAAAGTAGCGCAAAATAAGGTAATGAACATTATTTAGCGCAACTATTTCTTTGACTTGTATCACAACATGTTTCGTTTGTTTTAAATGCTCTCCTCAGACAAATGGGTATGCGATGAACTACAACGATAAGGAGTTGCGACGAGATACTTAGCAGACGACCACGCTTCCCTGCTCAGCATGGTTAATACTTTTCTTTCCCGTTTTAGGTGGGCATCACAGTTGTATGTGGATACAAGCGGAAGTTTCGACGGCTGATCCCCATCAGGGAAGACGAGGAAGGCCTGCCCTCGAAGGCGGCAGCTCGTTCGGCTCTTGAATCTTTGGCGGATCGCGGGTGAGACTGCCCCACGCATGCAACAACCGCTTGCGGACGACGCTAACGCCAACGTTTCTGCAGGTTTTGTAGGCCGCAGAAAGCCTATCAGCCTCCCGACGACGTCCATAACAGGGTGAAGGCAATCTACGAAGATGTGCTTGGTTGTACGGCCGCCGAGTCGTGGATGGAAACTCCCATCACTGACCCTCTCGTAAAATACAAGGTAATGGATCAACCATCGATAGCGCCAATGCGGAGCGCAAGTTCGTCTGCTTTCGCAGGGGTTGCGGTGACGTCAGAACGCCGAGCTCTGATTGAAGGGTAGTGGGTAGACCTCAAGGGCAGCTTGCTTCGAGGTCTACCCACTATTGTTCAATCAGAGCTTGGCGTTCTGACGTCACCGCAACCACTGCGAAAGCAGACGAACTTGCACTCCACATAAAAAGGCTCAAGCAGAAAGGCATGTTCATTCTTGCGAGCCATTCCAGCCAATCCAAGGCTGTGAACGTATTGCGTGACTATGTCCCGAGCCCCTCCGGACGGTCCCTCGACACGCGGAAAACGGGGCATGTTTATTTTTCGTGCGCACCATCTGCTGTCATGCAAACCAGGGACGACTCTAAAGGCGTTTTTACACTTGCAACTCGCAGCAGTCGTGCGACTGACTGGCGACATGCAACCACAGACATTCGCACTGCAGGAGATCGGCGAGTCACTTCTCAGATGCTCTCTGGAGCCGTAGTCGATTCCACCCTTCCCGCAATAGCTCGGGTTCGTGTTTCGCTGCGTTCCCATTTTTCTTTGTCGCACAACCACACGTGTCGTTTTCACTATACGAGGAAGACTCGTTACTTCAAAACTGTACAACGAAAGCACAATCTCTACATCGGTGTGCACTCACTCGAGCTTCATTGGTGCACTACGTACCTGTCAAGCCAAAAGTGGCACGGCTTTGCTGCTAGGCCAAGTTCTTTTACAGCAAAGCTGTTATATGCTAGGGTCTGGGAAAAAATTGCGTCCTCACATGTTGACAGAAAACTCCCCATTGGTCGTGGCAAGTATGAATAAATAAAAACAAAAAGAGGGGGCAACCAGCGTGAGTCAGCCTTTATTAGCATTATTAGATTGTGAGGTCTTGATACCTTGTTATCATCTCTACGCATCGTCCTCAAGGTCGTCTTAGAAGTCGTCCTAGGCGTTGTCCTTGAGGTCGTCCGAGACGTTGTCCTAGGCGTCGTCCTCGAGGTCGTCCTAGACGTCATCCTCTAGGCATCGTCCTAGACGTCGTAAAGATAACAGCTTCGCTGGTCCTACATCTTCACGTGAAGTGGAAGAGCTCTACAATTTTCTTTTAGCGCTCGTTCCAATTGGGGTGCTGCTTGTTATAAAGAAACAAGTATTCTTTCATGGTAATAAAACCCGAGACTCAGGAACACAGAAGGGGACGAACACAACACATTCTGTGTTCCCGAGTCTCGGGTTTTATTACCATGAATCATCACCAGCTCGCTTGTTTTTTAAGTATTACTGCAAGTATTCTTTAATAGCGCCGATCAGAGCTGCTGCCGAGACCTCTATGACTCTGTATCCAAGGCCGCTCGCTGCCTCTAACCGAGGCTCCATGGTGGGCATGCATCTTTCGCGAAAATGCTAGACGTAAACAAGCACAAGGCCCCACACGTCAATTCCGAAAAGCTGCCGATTTGCTTGACCGCATGGCTTATAATTGGTCCGAAATATCTGTCTGGAAGCAACTGCCCCGAACCGGTTGCATTTGCAATTGTGACAAAAGGCTCTCGCGCGACCGTTGCAGCTTGCGAGTGTGAATGCACCTCGAGGCTTTCGATATGAAGATTGCTCGGTGTAAAACATCTGAACGCTTCCTCACCATGCCGTATTGTCCCTTTTTTTTTTCCCAGTTGCTCACCAAGTGCATCAAAGAGTTTGGTCACGACCTACCAAACTCTTGCCTCATGAGGGTCAGGCAGGTGGACGACCTTGTGGAGTACTACTCGACCGCCGTCGAGGGAGTCACCCCTTTCGACTCACTTGTGCGGTCGGAGAACACGCTCCCCCCTAACATCCACGCCATTCCAAACTATGTTCGTTTCCATCCAGAAACAGACACCTTCTTTGGAGGGGTGAATGCCTACCCTGGAACTTCAACCATTGTGACTGGACTAAAGGCAAAGAAGAAGTTCAAAGGACATATTAGCAAATCATCGTGGCCTTTTGAGTAGAGAATAAGGAGGTGCATGTTTCGAAATATAAAGCCTTTTGTGTCAACCTTTATTGTTTCTTGCTCAATTACATTCTCCAAAATATTGTGTGGTCCAATTTCAGATTTATAGTATCATCAGCATTGCTTCATTTAGCACTCTGAACTAAAATCTACTGTTTACTTGAGGTTGTCTAATTATCTTAGTGTTTAGCCAACACTGGACATCACCAATTGACAGCTCTTATCAACATTTCAATATTTCCTATAATACTACTTGGTCGTAAATACCCAAGCTATGCCTTCTGGGACTGAATTGGTTTCAACGCTCTACTACTGCAACCTTCGTAAGCATTACAACAGCGATTGAAACCTGTAATAAGCACTTGTATGTTTAGAGAAAATTTTTATACAATTGCAGTCTCCTATTAAGATTTCGAGATTGTCTCGGGTACATGCAAAGCATAACCCGCGGTTGAGACCTGCAATGTGCTGCTTTGCAACGCTTTATATTATACACGTGTTTGTACATTCCTAAATGCCACTTGCTCATCTTGTGACAACAGGCGATGTCATTTACACTGCAAAAGGGGGGCTACACCAAAGCTTCCACAACTTTCCTGATGGAATTTTATAATGGTCTGCCAGTAAACTTTGTGGAAGTATTGTGGTTTAGAAGCCCACATGCTCGTGGCACGTTTTGGAAAATATATTATTCACTTTTGTAGCTTTGGCAGTTTATAGTCCCAGCTGTACAGGTGGGAGTACATGGTTTAACTCCAGGAGAAGAAAATCATTTTTCATTAAATACGGAAATTATGTAGTATAACAGTAAACTAAGCAATTACTAATTATTTTTTTTTTACATGTTCCCACTTGTGAAGGAACCTAATTAAAATGCTGCACATACTTGCACAGTGAATCTTGTGTACAGCCATTGTTTTCAATCACTGAGATCTCTCTTTAGTTCATGAGAGATAAAAGGTGAAGATGGTTTGTGCCAATGAGGATTTCTTTTTTTTGGTTTATGTCAAAGAAAAATTTGATTCACTTTTCTGCAAATGGCAATTATAACAAATCAAATGCTGACTATGCTTTCATTGGGAGAGAGATTGGAGGACCTCTAACCATAACTCTTGGTGCATCTTTCTAATATAAATCAACAGAATTGCTGGTGGAGTCATGTGTGAGACAACAATAAATTTCGCCAGTGAAAGCCGAAAAACAAAATCCACTCTCCTGTCACATGAGTGGAACAAATAGTATACCCATGCACATTCCTCAAGGTGTTAGTGCCTAACTCCTCATTATCAACTGCGAAAGTCGGAAGGCTGCTAAGATCACTCTGCACAAAACTTCTTTCAGAGAAAAATAAGAAAATATTCTATTCAATACTTACAAGAGCTTATAAATTTTCAAAAATATATTAAGCACCAACTGCAAGAGGACACAAAAAGCACTGACAACTTGGTAACATTGGTGAGACATTGCTGACGCATAACAAAAAACGGCTGCACAGATGTCCACATTTAAACCAAAATTAAAAAAAAAAGACAGCCAGGAAAAATTATGGAATCTGGCTACAACATAATGACCTATGTTGGCAAAAGAATATCAGTACACTGGCAATCAATACAGGCTAATTCCGGAGGATCTAATACATTCAGTAGTGCTACATCAAGATACAAGGATAGTATCTATCGCCTTAGCTGTAAATGTTCTGGAGAACAAGCTTGCATAATGTTAAATAAGTTCAAAATGACAGTGGTATATGTACACAAGCGCCACTTGGCTTTGACATCTTGCAGGGGCCACTCCAGCTTCCAACTGTATCACAATTTCACTAGAAAAATCTCTTCTTGGTACTTTTTTCTGGTCCTCCCTGCAAATAAGAACAGACCAAGTAAATGGGTGACTTTTTGGCACTCATAGACTCTATGTTCATTCATTGATGGGTCATCTGCAACATGAGGCAAACTGACAGGATTTTTTAAGAATGGAATCAATATCTCGGAGTTCTCGACACTCGCATAAGGCAGCACCTTCAAAGTTTTCTCCAAGCAAACTTCTGGGTCAGGAGACAATGCAGAACAGCCTAAGGAGAGAGGGAAGGGAACCTAGGAAAGGTCCTTGGTGCTAAAGGCGAAACCAGTCACCTGATAGGGAGGCACCAAGGCCTGCTAACTAAATGTTGAATGTAAATGCAAAAACCGAAATATTTCTACTAAATGTCACCCCAAATGTTCCTATGGTCTCGTAAACCATTCCGATAATTGCCTTCTGGAGGCAGTCTTCTGCATGCAGAAGGTGGTTATCATCTGCGCATTGAGGAAAATTTTGTGAGCATGCGCAGTAACTCTCTTCTGTGGAATATCCGACGCCGCGTATGCATCCACACACAGTGACTTGGCATTTTTTGACTGGGTGATAGCGCTGGAAAGATGTACAGTGCTCAACGAAACTAAAAGGACCAGCGGAGTGCGTGGCCTCGCATACCTGCGACTCCATCTGCCGGAAGAAGCCGTGCCATTTGGTGTCGCGAGTCGCACATGCGCTTGGCTGATCCAAGCACTCGGCGGCTGTTTGTGCTCGGTGCACAACCTCCGACGTAAGCGAGGTCATGCGCTTTGCTGGTCCCTTTCGTTCCATTGAGCACTGTACACAAAACCTCAGGCTGGACGACTTCATGTGTTAAGCCTCATTATTTTTGCAGCTTTGTAGTACCATAACAAACAAACTTGGTAAGCCTAGCCAAATGAAGCAACCAGAAGCCTTCATGGCAAAAAAGGACATGCATTTGTTTGCAATCATAAAACAAGTATACACATGTGTTTGTCCTTTTTCTATGTGTTCCTCAGTCTCGGGATTTTGTCATTAGGAATCTAGGCTCTCAATATATATACAAAAAAGGAAAACTTGTAGTAGTAGAAAAGTGGGTGTCGTAATGAAACACTAGAACAAGTATAATGTAAATGAAGTTTCAACATACATGTTGCATTGATCTAAACAACTACTATATTCTGCCCCAGGACTAAAAATACTACTTCTCAATTTTTGCCTCTATGCTCAGTGCAGCATAATTAAGAATTAATTTAAGCCCCATGGTTATTAGATGTGGCAAGGAAAAAAGAAGCTATCTAAACTCTAAATCACTTCGATTTGTTGAGAATAAGATTCTTTCCAAGTTTTGCTCATTCGTAGTACCACCAATGCAGTCAGTTCAACTCCAAGGCCAGCCTTGTAGCTATGAGAGCGAACCGGGAGATCGGAAAGTGATTTGCAACTGCATTGAAATAATATTCAGTCAAAAAAAGTTTAGAATTTGTTTGGATTAGCCAAAAGTGTGAATCATCCACTTCAGCTAGGCTAATGACCATACACTACACATCAGCTCAGACTGTTTGTTATTGCTACAATGCAATAACCTCAGCTGAATGCACTTGAATGGTACACTGACCAGAAGCTTGGCCCCCAGGAGTAACCTCGCCTTGTCTTCCTCCTGGGGCTGACTACTGTCCTCGGACGATGACCCCTGTTGCTGCTGGGGCTGCTGCTGATGGCTTTTGATCTGCAACTTCTGTTTGATGGCCTGTTGGGAGGATTAGAGAAGTAGAAGATACTGCTATTTCCTTTAGGAAGGGCACATGGGAAAAAAGATTGGATGTAACTTTTTTGGTGTCATAAAAGGCCTACATCATTTGGGTTCTATTTAGCAGTCTATGAAAGCTAGAAATGCAAGCTGGTAACTGTGAAAAAAAGCAAAAAAACAGCTATATGCATACTTGCCAGATGACGGTAAGTGCCAAATCGCACAGTTGTGTCATCTGGCCGGCAGATGGCATTGACCGCAGTGACCTCTTGGTTATGCGCCACTACGACTATCTGGTTGATCATGCTGTGTTGTTTGCCACACACTGCGTCCTCACCTAAAGACTATATGTGCGGGGAGTTTTTAAGAAATGAGAACCATGGTCTTTCGGCCATAAACAAACTATGCATCGCGAAAAGCTCAAACTCCGTGAGAATGTGACGCTGGCAGATGGGATAGAATACGAAAGTTTGAGAACGTGACATTACCTGGATCAAAAGATAATTTAAAACAATTTTTCTATGAGCCGCCGTCCACCTAAGCCTAATATAGTTAAAACAAGAAATGACACTGTGGGACCATGTAGCATCTACTGGGCATCCGCGAGAAAACTGAACACTGTTTTTCGCACCTCAAAAATAAACTAGACATCGCGGAGAGCTCAAACTCTGTCAGAATGTAGCCCTAGCTGTTCGGGCAAGATGCCAGTTTAGGCACCAACCATTATTTTATTAATGCGAAAGCGTTAACTGTCCGATGGAGTGCCGCTAGTAGTGTCCGTGATTGTAAAAAAACGAGCAACTAATGCGACACCCATGGAGCGCAGCCGGCATTGTTTGTGACCACGAAAAACGAGCAACTAAAAAGAGGGTGGCACTTGCTTGGCAGACCCTTCCCCCCTTGGGTCACGTGTCAGACCCTATATCCCCCCTCTTGGCTCACGTGTCAGGCGTGGCCGGAGGCCTGGAGGGGGTTAAGGGGGAGCTGGAAATTCCCGCTCCTCATCTGTTGTACGCTCTGCTTTCAGCCATGTGACGCCGTGCAGGAGCAGGGTGCGCTGCCCACTGTCCTTTGCACCACGGACAGCGGGGTGCGCTGATTCTAGGAATGCGCTGTGTGTAGGAATGCTTTTGCATTCCTACACGTAAGCAGTCTTAAAAGGGCACTGCAAAGCGTTTCTGGCCATTTTTTAGAGCGCAGCTCTTAGGGGCCCGTTTCCGGCTTGAGCGGCGTCGCCGTCGCCGTCGCCGTTGGCGTAACCGCGCGGTGCATCATGGGAAATGTCCCATAATGCACCGCGCGAGCCCCCCCACCGGGGTCACGTGACCTCGTGGGGGGTCACGTGACCCCCCCGAGGTCACGTGACTCCCCTGAGGTCACGTGACCCCCTCCTCGAGGTCACGTGACCCCCTCCTCGAGGTCACGTGACCCCCTCCTCGAGGTCACGTGACCCCCGCCGATGTCGCGTGACCCCCCGATGACGTCTTTGTCACTGATGACGTCACCGGCATCCACATCGTCATCGTCATCATCACTGATGACGTCACCAGCATCCACATCGTCATCGTCATCATCACTGATGACGTCACCGGCATCATCATCGTCATCGTCATCATCACTGATGACGTCACCGGCATCCACATCGTCATCGTCATCATCACTGATGACGTCACCGGCATCCACATCGTCATCGTCATCATCACTGATGACGTCACCGGCATCCGCATCGTCATCATCACTGATGACGTCACCGGCATCCCCATCGTCATCGTCATCATCACTGATGTCACCGGCATCCACATCGTCATCGTCATCATCACTGATGACGTCACCGGCATCCACATTGTCATCGTCATCATCACTGATGACGTCACCGGCATCCACATCGTCATCGTCATCATCACTGACGACGTCACCGGCATCCGCATCGTCATCATCACTGATGACGTCATCAGTGACGTCACTGATGTCGTCACCGGCATCCGCATCGTCATCGTCATCATCACTGATGACGTCACCGACATTCGCATCGTCATCGTCATCATCACTGGTGAAGCCATCAGTGACGTCACTAATGACGTCATCGGTACCCGCATCGTCATCGTCACGGATGACGTCATCAGTGACGTCAGTGATGACATCATCGGCATTGGGGGTCACGTGACCCCCAAGGTCACGTGACCCCCCCCTGGTTAGTTTACCCCCCCCCCCCCTGCCCTTCCCTCCTCCTCCTCAAGAGCTGCGCTCTAATTCGGCGTTACAGGGAGTTGTAAGCGGCTTTCATTTTTTTTATTTGCATCGAGTTCGCTAAAACTAGTATATGGGACTCTAGCAACACATTAAAAATATAATAAAGAAGAAATCTGATGTATTTTAAACACATTAGGTGAAAGAAGTTCAGAATTTTGAGCACATTTTCTATTGTCAATGACGTCGTTGGTCTGAACCAATAGAGAACCGAAACAACAAGTGCTTGCAACAACCATGCGCAATCTTCCTAATTGTTGGAATTAACATCCAGTTACGACGATGTGAATGACCCACCGATTTACAGGTGTTCAAAGCAAAAATTAAGTGACAATCATGGGCTTGCAAGGATCAGAACGGTCACGTGCACCTATTCAGCCAGTAGTATCTCTAAAATTCTATGTCCTCATTTCCCTATGCTCGATGACCAATGTCGTCACTGAACACTTGTGTTTGACACTGATAGGCACTCCCTCCGAGCAACATTTGGCTTTCTTCGTCCCGCATTTGGTTTTCTTCGTCCCCTTACAGTGCCCCTTTAAGTGTACTCTTCTAATTTTTTTCAAAATTTATAAGCGATTTTCCGAAAATTTTAATGGAAAAATGGCGGCCGACGGAGCTTTCGAATACATGGAGCTCTATAGCGCCAGAAACTGAAAACGGGCGAAAAATGGCCCCCATTTTCCCATTGAAAATTTCAGAAAATTACTTACCGTAATATCTCGAGAAGGGTAAGCTAACTTTCGGCGTGCTATAACAAAAAAAAAAGTAAAAAAAATGCTAGTTTTAGATTTTGTGATCCTCTAAACTTGTAATCACAAAAAGGGGCAATGAACCAACAGGTAGCAGTAGTATAAATATTTGTTCTATGCTACAATAGATGGCAACACTTGCTCACAGGATGACTGTTTTTCCCATTCAGCAATGTTCGCTTGTCTTTCGCTGTGGTTAAGTAACACCGTTTTTGCCGAGGTCACCATTGGCCAGGATCCTGCAACTACTAGAAGTGGGCTATCTTTTGGTGTCTCAGAAAAAAATAGCAAATCATGCCAAAAATAGGGGTGGGCTATCTTTCGGGTGTGGGCCATCTCTCGGGATATTATGGTATAACTTTTGAATAAGATAACGGTTGGTGCTGAAACTTTGGCACCTTGCTTGATTGGCTGGATGGATGGATGGATGGATGGATGGTATGGCTATACCCTTTGTAACGGGCGGTAGCTTGCGCCACCTAGCTGGGCCACATTCTGACAGAGTTTGAGCTCTCCGCGATGTCTAGTTTATTTTTGCGATGCGAAAAACAGGGTTCGGTTTTCTCGCAAACGCCCATTATTTCAGTGAAAAAAAAATTTCTTGGCAAGAAAGAAGATATTGTTTTCATTCTTGCTGACAAGTTTTTTCACTGGAATAGATACTACAGGCACCCACCGTTATTTCTTGTTTTGACGATATTAGCCTTAGCTGGACATCAGCACATAGAAAAATTTTGTTTTTCTCAATTATTTTGATTCAGGTAACCTCTTGTTCTCAAAAATTTGCGTTCTATCCCAACCACCAGTGTCACACTCTCACGAAGTTTGAGCTTTCTGCGATGCATGGTTTATTTACCCAGGTCGAAAAACATGGTTCTTGTTTCTCGGCCAGAACTCCCTGTATATCTTAGATGCAGTAGAGAGCGATTATTGTTGGTGGCTGAGAATCCTGCTGACTGATAAGTTTTAGAGAGGTCCCTGCTACTACAGTCAAACCCAAGTATATTAAATTCAAAGATTGTAAAATAGTTTGATATATCGATAAATCGATAAACAAAAGTATGTTTTAACTTAGCTCAGGTTGAAATTTCCACGCATCTCTGTTGATATTGAAGATTGTGACAAACGGGAGCTTATCATATAAATAGGGTTTTGCATTTTCGGTTTTTATTTCTTCAAAATTCGGCATACTTTTTTCGGTGTTTATTTTAAAATTCAATTTGCGGTATTTTTCAGTGTATATTTATTCCCCAAAGTTTACCGTTTTCTTTCAGTGAATATGAAAGAAACACTGTCGGACACCGGATCAGATGATCCTTGTAGCTGTGATATTTGTGATCACTCAAAGAATAACGGCACATATACATACGTGGTCTTCGCTGGAACTTCCGTCAGGACACACCTCAAAATCGCGGAATTCGCGGGCACAATCTTCAGCGCACTTCATTTTCCTTCCTATTCTGACAATGTGACTGTCCAAGGTGATTCCGCTGGTTCCATACAAAAACCAGCGGAATGACAAAAAAAAAAAACACAAAAAACATTGTATTTATGTTTTCAATTGCAGGGAAGTTTGAGAGAGGGTGTTAAGAAAACCTCGATGTCCTCTGAAGTACATGAAGCGAAAAACCTTATACTAGCCCACATCCAAACTTTTTTTTTAGGACTGGGAACTTGACACACTAGGCCCGATCACAGAAAGGACACAGATGTCCCGCAAAGGCCAATCCAAGACCTCTTTTGTTGTATGTTGAACTTTGGAAGAGGGCAATCACGAAGACTTCACACAATGTCGAACCTTGCAAAGCCCTCTCTTTCTCCCTCCCTCCCCCACCAACCTCGACGCGGCCCTAAAAAACTGGCCTTTTTCGCTTAAAACCGATTTTTAAAAAATGGATTCGGCATACTTTTATTGGTTTAAACCGAAAACTCCGAACCCTACATATAGAACATTCAAGAAATGCTAAATACAGTGGAACAGTGTTAAAGCATTGTTGCTAGGAACTGCCGGCGCCACTGCTTGTGCTCACACCTTGCCGCGCGTGCGTGGCCGCAACCTCAACAGCACAATCGATGGAACACGAAAGAAAAAAATAAAAATAAAAGAAAACCAAAAGGGCAGGACATGTAAAAAAGCAACTCTCTCTTCATTTTTAGAAAGAAGTGAAGCAGGCAACAAAAATAAAATGTGTAAAATCAGACAACAAAAATAAAGTCAAAACAAAAGCGGCGAAGTGATGTCGTTCTCCTCTGCCTCTTTGCGACTTTCGCTGCCCGTGGCCAGAGACTTTACTCTTCATTGCGTGCAAACCACACCGCAAAGGCAGTTTTCGGGGAGAGCCTCCCTACCAGAGGCACAGCACGCGGCTCAATGTGTCGGATGTCAATACAAACGCTTAAGGCGCCTCTACTGTTACGTGGGATTACCAAGGGGATGTTTTGGCTGTTCGAAATAGACAACATTTAGAAATACTCTGGTTCGATATGTTTGGGCTCGACAGTATGGCTAGATGGAAATAAATTTTAGAGAGGAAGAATTACTAGTGACTGCCAGTGTCTACAAAAAATGATGCCTTATAAGAGACTTCTGCATTCATTTGTCTAAAACAATAATGTGTGACCAACACTGCTACCCACCCAGTTCATAGTTCAAGACAAAGATAAATGCTCCACTTAACACATTCACTTCCCATGAAGGACTCGGAAGGCATCCACAGGATCAAATTGAGGCCATCCTTTGATTTACCGCTCAAATGTCCCATATAAAAAATTAATTACCAATATATAGGGTGTCACAAGCGAAAATTCAGCTGTAAAATGAGCCTGAAAAGTCGGCGCCTGCGTACAGAAAGTTTAAACTTTTACCGAATGTGCACTGAGCAGGTCAGTTTTACCGTGTGAAATTTCAAGGCAGTTCTCTTCCTGTAAAAAAGGAGAGCAAAATACTTGCCAAAGTCAAGGCGCACGTTCGCAAACGACCGAGTAAGCAACACTTCTACTTGTGGCGCTATTTCCTGATGGTGCAGCAAGCAGGCAATGCACTCTGTTGTGTTGCGCCTATCTGGAGATGGCACCACGTGTAAATAGCGTCGCCAACTCGATCGTCTGCAAACTTGCCCAACCTTGACTTTGACAAGTTTTTAAATGGGTTTGCATTTATTGCACTGGTGCATGCAGCCGTCTTCCGTTTGGACGGTCACAGTTTGGTTTGGACTCGTTTGGACTGGACTGAGCTGGAATGAATTGGTTTCGTGAGGCCGTGGTGCACCGCACGGCACCTGCCGTGCTCTTTCAACTTGTTCCTTCCCTCGTTACGTCCACTTTCCCTCTTACAAGAAAGATTCTTCCGGCATGCTTCCAATGTCATGCCGCGGGAGAGGGAGGGAACTGTGGTGGCTGCATCCAAAACTGGAAGAACAGACTCGCTCTCCAAACACAACAGTTTGCGAACCATTACGAGGTTGGAATTTCCATCCTTTGCCGAGTCAGAAGCCCTGCACTAAATGCTAACGCATTTCATCGAGAGTCGGCGCAGTGGCAGCAGCGATTTCGGCACGATTTTTAGAGCGGAGCTCTTAGACGCCCGTTTCCGTGTTTCGCGGCATTGGCGTAACTGTGCAAAATTTAGTGGGAAAATTGATGTCACGTGACCTCAACAGCAATTCAATTTCCCGCTAAACTTAGTGGGGAAATTCAGTTCCTCCGCTAGATTTAACTAACAAATTCAGTTTCTCCGCTAAATTTAGCGGGAAAATTGATGCCACGTCACCTCAACACTAATTCAATTCCGCGCTAAATTTAGCGGGGAATTGAATGGGTGTTGAGGTCACGTGATGTCAATTTTCCCGCTAAATCTAGCAGAGAAACAGAATTTGTTCATAGGTGACGTGACACCAAGTCATGTATGTCATTTTCCCCACTAAGTTTTGCGGGGAAACTGAATTGGAGGAGGAGGGGAGGAGAGGGTGTAGAGGAGGAGAAGGGGAGGAGGAGAGGGTATGCAGGAGGAGGAGAGGGTATAGAGAGGGAGGAGGGGCATACTCTCCCCTCCATACCTCTCCTCCTCCTCCTCAAGAGCTGTGCTCTAAATTCGCATTACACAGATTTGTAAACGTCTTTCATTTTTTGCTCTCATTCTTCACAGGAAGCGAACTAATGATGCAATTGACCCGAGTCATTTTGTAGCACCTTTTGGAGCAGCCTAAAGTCCATTATGAAGCAGCAAAAAGTGCTTTTAGAGCACCAGCACACACTTAATTTTTATTCATACTACCGTGAATATTACATGCCAAGATTCATGTGTTGGCCTATCTATCTAAAAAAACGTGCACGATCTGCCTTCACACTTCTGTGCCTCGCCATATTCCTGGCACGGCAGGAATACGACAAGGCCGGTTTTAATTCCGTATGTGCACACCGTCACGCATAATCTTAAAGGGAAGATGGGACACTTCTGCATTTGAGAAGGAACGCTTGAATTGCATTCATTTGGCCTTTTTGGCTTACTTTACAGGGGAAGGTTTGCTTGGGACACACTATATATATGCAAATCTGAATGAGAGGAGTTCTCTTTTACGAAGAACCACAGCACTGGAAATGGCAGCACATGACGTGACATGATACCATGGCATGACACCGTGAGGTCATGTGACGAGGTCCCATGACATCACGTCAAGTTACACCACGGCTTGACATCCAACAATACGTGGCATTACATGACACTGTCACGTCATGTGATCTGGTGTGACCCGGCGCATGCTAGCATATGGCCCAAGGTGGCACCAATCCAGCGATTCGGGGCTGCCCCGCTAAATTTAGCAGACAGTGGCACGGTATGATGCATTAAAAATAAAAGTGGGGCGGGAGTGAGGAGGGGGGCACCTGTGAGAGGAGGACCTTGCGGGCGTCGTTCTTGATGACCATGAGCAGGTCGAGCCAGGTGCAGGTGCGATTGTGCAGCTCGATGGTGGGCAGCACCAAGGAGCACTCGTTCAGGTCCTCCAGGTTTTTCTCCTTCTCCCCCTTGTAGCTCAGCCGCAGGGGCACTTCAGGGATCTTGATGTAGAGGAACGTCTGGTTCTTCTCCGCACGCTCCTGCGCAGGGACCACGCTCAGTCAACACCCTTGGGAATTGAGACAGCTTGCCCTCAGTCTTTTCATTGATGAAGCCCACTTTTAGCTCCCGTGGCTTGACTTATGGTCCGTTTCACCTTAAAACGAACCGCAGCAGACGCTACAAGCCATCGCAGCCTATCCAATGCCAAGGAGGTGTCCCGTGACTTCACGCATTGCAGGTTGCCGTGCCCAACCATATCACTGTCTCTCGGCTCTCAACTGGCTCCGATGGCTCGTAGCATCCGCTGCGGTCCGTTTTAAGGTGAAAGGTAATACAGCCGCTCAAGTATCAATTCAAGGGGGAGGGGCGGTTTGCAAAATTGGGGATAGATTACTACTAGTCTTCGAAACATGCGAATGATGCTTGCATTACCTAGAGCAGCGGTTCTCAACTACAGTCGCCGACCGATTTTTTCTATGCAGATGATTCGGACTTGTTCGATATTTCGGACTTAAAGGAGGAACCGCGACCTACCCAATAGAAATAGTACATATTCACGACCAATGTTTCTGACAGCTTGAAGTCCGAAAGTTAAATGTTTCGGACAAAACCGTCGCGAGCATTCAGCGGGAAACACCGCCGCACCGCCGACAGGTCGCCATTTTAGATTCTAAGTTGGCTGCACATGGATTGGATTGGTTTGGCAGCACTACTTGAGTACTGCTAAGTCCTACTGCTAGGTGACGCTAGGCAAGGAGGTTGAAAGACCTGGCAAGGCCATGATGTCAGCTCTGTAGCTTTCGCAAGCCATGACCCCTTGACGTTCGCCCCTTTCTCACACCCCCTGTGCCAAACCAAAACAAACCTTCTCAACTAGAGGACCCTATTCGTGTCTCCAGCTCGACGCTCGCCCTCCTGCGGCGGAAACGGGAAGCGCTCTAGTGAGGGTCCCACATTCTCCTGCTCAGTGGGCATGGCGGAACTACTCACGATCATGGCTCGCGAAATGTCGTTTCCGAATGCAAACAACACTCTTCACTGTCCCAACGTAGTGCTGCAGCCGGTATGGGATTGTACCTTACTGGAGAGTTTTAGTATTGCGCATAGAAGCAAACGCAAGCGGTGTGTGTTTGCGTTAGAATTGCATGCCCCACGTTGTGCGTGTGCCTCATTGCCAAGCGCCATCCAAGACTGCAATTTCGGGCTCCGCGCACGTGCAGTGTGGAACGCGCAAAGCTAACGCAAACACACGGGGCTTGAGTTCGCTCGTATACGCAATGTTAAAACTCACTACTGTTTCACCGGCTTCCAACGCCAACAAAACATGCTGCAGTGAGCAGACGTGCAAGCAGGTAGGCATTCCTTCGAACTGGAAAGGCTGAGATTGGCAAAACGACGGCGAGCAAATACAAAAGTAAATAAATGTTATGAAAAAACTAGTAATAAAAAAAAAGCTTTTTTTTAACTTTTGGGCATTTGGTCTGGAAGTATACTGGCGGCGACTTTGGATGTTTCGCCGATTGTCAAAAGTCACGACTTTGATAGCACAATATACTTTACCCCCAGTTAATGCAATTTTACATAGATTTCTCACATTAGCTAGAATGTTTTCATTGATTGTAGACTATTTTTATTTTATTTGTAATTAAAATGCAGCAATTGGAACCAGTGATGATAATTAGCACAGTTTTCATTGTCATATTTCTTTGCGCGTCTAAAATTAGATCGTAAGCAACAAATTATATTAGAGCTTGAAAAATTACTTATTCAAATATGTGAATTTTAATATTATTATTATGAATACAAATCGCGGCAATGTATGTCTCTAATTAACGCCAAGATCACGATAATACTCTATTTAACCATAATAGTCTTTCCAGAAAGGTATAATTCTGTTTTCTTTTTAGCATATGAAAAACTCTGACATAGTTATCAAGATAGACAAACAGTTCAACGCTGAATGTAATATGAAGTCCTACGCGTCACGCGGTGCTATAAAAACACACACACACACACTTCAGCTGTCTGACTCGGATTCCGTTTTGGGTTGTTACAGTGAGAGCAGCGTTTATTAGCTTAGGCGTTTCGTGGACATATTGTGAAAATTGGAATTATTCTCTTATTCTTGTGCTGGGATAATTGTCATTATTTCCCATGACAATTATCTGAGCGAGAAAAAGGCAGCGAGAACGCAGAGATATCAGCACTGATTTTTTCAACAACTACGAATATCAGCCTGGATCGAACAGTATGCCACAAAATAAAGTTTCCGCAAACAAATTTTCTAAGCAAATAACTACGATATGAGACACATCTTGAGTCATGAAAGAATCCGAAATTAAGACCTCTGCCGAGACATTAAATCCAAAATAGAGGTAAGTTTCGGTTTCGCTCCAGAATTAAAACGCGCATCCTTCCGTAAACAATACGCTAAACACCGTTCTTGTTTTCAGGTTAAAGAGGTGACCTGCGCTCATAAAACATTAGCTTCCTTGTATTACCATAAATAATTTATGTCGCTCAGTGAAGCCAGCACACTAGACAGGCTCAACAGCGGCACGCATCTCTGACCCTCACTAAACCCGTCATCTTGGAAAATGAGTGGCGCCACCTATCAGGGCTCTACCCAGAAAACAATTTCGGGGGGGGGGGGGGGGGGTAAGGTAAGCCTGGTGGGGGTTCCATGTTGTAGATGCATACTCGAGCTGCGGGCAAACAAGGGCAGTGTAAGCTACGAGTTTTGTTTCCCCTTTGTACGGGCGAGATATGTATATGTACGAACGCAAAACACACCCCGCTACTGAACCCCTGTAGTCTGCGTCGCTACCCGCCGTGGGCCCTGGCAAGTTTGTTTGCCTTATTTTTTACAGAAAGAGAACTACGCTTTGTAATTTTACAAGAAAAAACCGACCTGTGATATACACCTTTGACGAAAAGTGTGGATTGTAACGTGCAGGCGTTGATTTTTACGGTCCATTTTAGATCGAGCCTGGTGACTTGGACCACCCTATCGCCTAAGAACAATCGTGTTGCTTTTCGTGCTGAGTGAGCTTCGTAGGGCGCTTCTCCTTCAGCAAAAGGCGCCCCAAAAAGGTTTGCAATTTATAAAGGACAATTATTGTGGCGTGCCCCCAACCAACCGTGGCTGCGCCTCCATCACTGGAGACGTGCCACAGTACCTTGCCGTGTCATATCGGCACCTAATATGACATTTGCACAAAGTGTGTAAATGCAAAAATTTTACCCCGTGTAATGAGCGCCCCCAAAATATGTGCCAATTTTTTGGGAAAAAAAGTGTGTTCATTATGCGAGTAAATACGGTGTACCCAAAGAACATTGCACAATTTCTAAAGTGCCTTCCATGTATGACAAATAAAAAAGTTTCACTTTTTATATTCTGGTTATGCCCAGTAGCAGCCAATACAATCACAATTGCTGGTTGCTGGTGCCATGGCGCTGCTAAGCTATGAAAGTGTCATCCACGCCCTAAAAGACAACCTCCACTACCTGCCACCATTTTTTTCATCTATGAAAATGGTGGAAGCAGAGCCTTCCAGGGTTTTTGCACCATAATCTTACCATTTGTGCCACAAGGCAATTCTATGCATTGATAGTTGATTTTCCAACTTAGTTTGTCTGCAATGAATGTAACTGGTAAACTACCAACAGGCATGCCAAGAGTGATGAACTACTGCTGTAAAAGAGGGTCACGTCTTTTGGTGTATCGTAGCACAGTTCCAAAGTGAGCCAGATAACGAAACTGGCTACAATTTGTTTAAACTTCTCTCATGGACGAAAAGGGGGAAAGGGGTGGGGGGGGCGTAAGGAAAATGTGAAAGATTGTTCTAGCAGGGGCACTAAATGAGTTTTCTTTGGAAAACGGAGAGAGAGAGAAAATATAGAAAAGTGGCACCTTCATCTTCTCAATGTCATCCCGACTGGTAGAAGCAGGAGGCTGTTGCGATCTGCGGGCCCTTCTGGTGTGGGTCACCGGCTTGGGTTCCTCTTCTAAGTGGTCCTCAGATTTCTCTGAAGAGGAGAGGCCTCGTCAGATGGGAAACTATGAACACTGAACCCTAGTCACTATGAGTCACTGTGCAAATAACATAGTTACATTTAACTTCACAAGCGTGAGAGCACAATGAAAATACCTAGTAAGAAAGCGCTTAGGTATGCAGTACAGAGGTAAAGGTGAGCACAATGGTTGCAATTTAGGACAGTTTTAAGACACTGCGTGTTGTTTTTCAGGAATATTTGTCGTGGAATGCACATTTTGATTCCTTAGCAGTGAAAATGTCCCAAATTGTTCGACTTGTTTATAGCAATATAGACTCATACTGCCACAAAATATTATGATTCTAATCTATAACAGTTTGTTTTCATCCAGGCTTCATACAGTCACTTAGTTTGGGCATCCACAACCCAAAAAATCTGCATAAAACACATGTTCTGCAAAAAAAATGTTTCTACAAGCTGTAAGAAATTATTTTGCTATACCTTAATTGTTAATAAAATATATAGTATATTATCAATTACAAAAATGTATGACTACCGGCATTCTAAGGCATCCAAACAAGAACAAAAAACTAAACCAACATTTTAATAAGAACTAACCAACTTACAAAGTAATACTACAGCCTATACAACTAGTTATAGTGAACCTTGGAAAGTGGAAACTCGTAGAACAATATACAAGCGAGATATGTCTACAAAAAGGGCACCTCGACGAAACCTGAGCCCACCTCAGAATTCAATGGGAAATGTTGTTCTAAACACCTTTCACCCCAGTCTGAGAAGACTGACCGGTGTCACGGGTGAGGAAGAAGAAGCGCAGCATCCTCCTGGTGAAGGCGTGAGTGAGGCCAATGGTGATGGGCACCAGGTTCACCTCGAGGTGCTCCTTGACCGAAATGCCCCCGACCGGAGCACGGACGCGGCAGAAGATACGCAGGGCTCGCTGACGTTCCAGTGGCACGTGGGGCTGCAACTCCGTAGGCTGGAGCACCTCCTGAAACGTCATAGAGTTAATCTGGGGGAAAAGGTCCCATGCGTTCTGTTCACTTTGGAACGGAGGGCCATAGACAGGGACACCGGTGGTCCCAGCAGGTGGTCCCAATGGGCCCATACCGCTGACGACGCCTTAATATTGCCGCGTGCGTGGCGAAGTTGGCAATGCTTGCGGCTGCTAAGCGGAGGAACGGCGTTAGAACCCCACCTGGTCTGGATCTTTCTTTTGCGATTCTGTACGCTTCTGGAAGGTTCCTGCACATTCTCAGCTGTCACTGAGTGTTCTGGTTTGGCACGTTCATGCACGTACCGCATGTATAAAAGCAATTCGCTGCGTTGGGACAGTTGCCCTCCCGTCGCCATCGCAGAATCTTCAGTTTCTTTATGCGTCAGATTATGACTCAAGTTCGCCTCATTACACGTTTCTTTTCAGTTCTACATTTGTCTACCATTTTTATTCGCGACAATATACACAAAGAAGCAGCAAAATGTCACCTGTAAGGTCTGTGCCTAGCTTTTTTTTAGCTTGCTTTCCAGGAAAACGCCCGCACCATGCATTGTATAAAAATAAATAAAGTTGAGAAGCACTCAAATTTTAGCTCATAGCAGCAAAACGAACACGCCTAACCTATTGTCTGCTTTCTTTTTCTGTTCTTCTGTCGCTTTCTTTCTCGTTACTTCTCTCGGGCCGATATCAGCGCTCACAATTTGCTGCAATCTGCTCCAGTCTTTACCCCCTGTGGAATGCACACCCTTATTACAGTTATTGTTTTTTACCTTCTCAACTGCCCTACATTCTCCCCATACTGCATTCTAACATAAGTGTGAGCGAAGCGCAAGCTACAAGAGCAAGCACCACGTTTTGATAGGTTTGCCAAGCACACCAGTTTGTGTCGTGAAAGTGCCGTTCAATGTGACATGCTCGTGCTTGTAGCTCCGGCTTCACCCGCACTTATGCTGAAAAAGAGTATAAACTCTGCTTCCCTCAGCCTTTCTTAAATTACCTTATGGGGACTTGCATGTACGGTAAAAAAACCACAATATACCTCTTTCTTATTTACGAGTTTTTTCTGACTGAGCAGTTGTTTCTTACAATTTGCCTTTTCTTCTCTTTTGCTGAATGTTCTCAATGGTTTATTCGATTTGCATTTTTTAGTACTCTCACAGATGAGGATAGTTTTGTGTACTTATACATATATGGCTCAACCTCAACAATCTAGGAGTCCCAGGCTGTAGACAAAACAAAATATAATTATACTGAAGTCTGTTCAAAAGCAGACTAGCTAGAGTATGTACGGCAAACACATTACAGTAGACATTTACTATGCACATTCTGAAACACATGTACTCCATGCAGGCCTATTAGCAAACCAACTTAAAGCCAACCCAGCTAAAAATTATCATTAGATCCAATTGGAATTCTAACTGGTTTTAATTGGAACCAATCGGTTTTAGTGGGTTCCAATTGGAAGTACACTGGCCAATGGGTCTCACCAGTTGGAAAAAATTTTCCAGTTGGAAACTTAATGGGTTTCAAATGGTTCCCGTTGGTTCCCATTACAGTGACCTATTGGTTGTCCGAAAACCTAACTGGTACCAATTGGAAATTGTAATTGGAATCTAATGAGAATTTTCGACTGGGAAAGTTTATTTCGAACAACAGACCCTGAGGGTGCGAGACGAGCTGCCAGTTTACGGAATGTAACAATTAGGTCCTATCATCCCTAAAGACAGGGGTACGCAACCGGCAATCCGTGGGCCACATCCAGCCTACGAGGCAATATTATATGGCTTCTGGCACACCCCTAAAAATGAGCCCCCCTTAACACACTCCAGGACAAGGTGTCTGTTTGGTTGCAAACCCGGTGTAATCAGACGTATTAGCTCTGAACAAGATCAAGAGATTTTCCAAATAGAGTTCGCTGATCAGGTGGTCCCCAATCAAAAAATAAGTTGAAGAGTGTATTTGCAGCGAATGACTTCGTTAAGATTTCCGCTGGCCTTCCTGAATTAAAGCTTTCAAATCTACAAAATCTCGGAGTGGCCTTCATCAAAGTGCTCAATACAGCACATACATATTTGCAAAACACACTTTTTTAAGATGAAGACCCTGAAGCCAAACGTGGGTCCTGCGAAAGACGGATGAGCACCTTCAAAGTTTTTTACGAATCTCAGTTAAGTGTTTAGTGTGAGTTTTCGCATCAGTACTGAACACCCAAAATTCACTGAGAGGGGGCTTGAGCAATCTTACGTTACATGTGCCTGAATCAAGAGAACATATTTGCATATCACTTTAAATTTGTGACCATTTTTTTAAATCTTTCACTCCTATAAACTGATTCCACCCCCCCTCACCATCTCCGTTCCTCCGTCTGGTCCATTCCGTTTCCACTTTGCGGCGATTTAGCCCGCTGCAGCAAAAGGTTGCCGACCCCTGCCTAAAGACAATGACTGGTCTATAACATTGCCGTGTGCATGACCGAGAAGGAACGCTTCTCCATACATCTAGAAGATTCGTATTTACTCTTACACCAAGAGTAAAAGATAAGAAGGTTAGAATGACCTTGCCTATAGTCCGTTGGAACTTAAAAAGGTAGGGCGAGAGGAAAGGAGGCCGGGGAGGAGGAAGCAGATGGAATGCTGAAGAGGAGATAAGGAAACCTTCTCCTCTCTCCAACGTTCCATCTGCTTCCTTCTCCCCGGCCTCCCTTTCCCTCGCCCTACCTTCTTAAGTTGCAACAAACTATAGTCAGGCTCGCCCTAGCTCACTCCCAAACAACCTAGGTCGAATGTTTGAGATGCCAAGTGTGGTAGATAAGGAGCTAACCGCGGCCGTGCCGACTCACTCGCCCGGCGACAACAAACTCTTTGGCCAGCACTCGACTCTGCGTTTTCCGCTGACTCCGATGCCAGCAATGCTCTGTATAATTACCCTTTTCGGTTGTTGGTTTTTTTCGGGCACTAGTTTGAACCCCATTCAACGTTTATTTCAGTTCAATATTCATTGTCTCTTCGCCTTCATTCGTGACAATATCTACCTAATACAGTACACCACTGAATCAAGGGGCTCTGTCACTTGCAGATGAAAAAGACAATCACTTGCCTTGTAGGCCTGGTTAGGTAAGAGGTTAGTGACTTTCATATTGCCAAGCTCCAGAAGATGCTCCACAGAGTCGTTGGACTTGGTCAGTCGGGAGTAACTGCAAACGAAAGGACACATAGCCTTCAACCCAAGATCCCCAGCGTGAATCCCAACTCCATTTACAATTGTTTTACCCATTCCAACCATCCGACAATCAGTGTTATACATCTGCACAGGCTTAAATAGGAGTGCCAAATCAACCTTTACGAATCCCAGTCATAACAGTTCGAAGACACTGTCACCAGAATTTCATGGGTTGTGGCAAACTAAAGTAGGTAGCAAAGCAGTTTAAACAAGCCAATTTGGAAGAATTGAAGAAAAAAAGAAAAGAAGGTGACAGGGACCAGCTATACGATACAAGTACAAGACGCCTTGTAATACACATGAGGCTCCTTCTATAATATTATATACTTGATACAGTGTAGACCGCATATAACGTATGTCACGGGAGTCGCGAAAATCCGCACTATAAGCGGTACCGCACTATAACCAAAACATCAATTTTTCAGGCCAAAATACATGCCATGAGACAACTTACGTTTGTAAAAGCATTTTTTTTTTTATGTTAGATGAAAAATAAAGCTTAGTTTGAGGAAAGTCTTTATTTTACCAGACTAGTACACTTCTCTCTCAAGTGTGTCACACATTTTGAAAGAAATGAGCGGCTTTTGCCTGGCGCAGCCTTTTAACGGCGTCGCGGGTTGCGGACAGACGTTGCGAGCGTTCAGGATTGCTAACCCTAATCACTTTTCTCCGGAGATGAAAACGCGTGAAAATTCGCATCCTTCATACGGTACGCGCCAGTAATACCTTGCCCTTGAGCACACGCATGAAATGCGCCAAATAAGAAATCCGGGCGATGTTCGAGGACACAAATGCTTAGAAATCACCACTGTAGTCGAAGTAAACAAACACGACGACACGGGCGTTTCTGCCGACTTGAGAGCGCCGCCACGACATCGCCGCTCGAGTAGGTGGATCTTCTCTTCTAATACGTGCCGGGTTATCATAGCGACACACGACGCAAATTCACAGTCAAGGATAGCGCTTTTACGCGGAATGATGAGATGAACGCCGTCTACGACGACGATCACAACGTTGATCACAACCGACGCCTTGTTCGCGGATAGAAGCAGCCGGCCGCCGGCCCGCGACGGGCATGCAACGTGCGCGAACACTTCTCCTGTCGTTGCGGTTGTTGGTTTCCAACGCATTGGAGGGACGCACGCACGTGAACGACACGTGCGTGCGTCCCTCCGTCGCTAGGGCAACTGAAGCCTCTCTCTTCGCTTCTCCCCCTTCTTCGAGCACCCTCCTTGCCCCGCGAGTGCCGCTTGCGCAACGCTTGCGGCTCGCGCCGTCAGCGCCGCTCGCTGCTCCGGTCGTCGGCGCGGTCGGCGGGCTGTGCCAGAAACCGCACTATAACCGGTATTTCCCGTCGCGCGCCTGCGTTTTAAGCGGTATGTAATTACATGGAGTTCTATGGGAGGCGAACCGGTAGTTTAAAAAAACCGCGTTATACCCGGTCCTGCACTATAAGCGGTTACGTTGTAAGTGGTCTATACTACTGTGCTCGTCTTTTTCTAGTGCTTTTTGCAAACTTTGAAGTGGTGGTGTATTCCTGGTGTCCTAATGCACAGTAGGTATGTGCAGTAGACCAATTCTGCTCACAATCCTTCACATTCACACCCTCTTCGAAGGACCTGATGACGTTTGATGTCGTCCTAGAAGTTGTCCTTGATGTCGCCCTAGAGGTTGCCCCCATGTTAACCAAGACGTCCTCTAGGACGTCGTCCTTGAGGTGACCCTAGAGGTCGTCCTTGAGATCACCCTGGACATCGTCCTACACGTCATTTTATGAACTCCAAACTTCGGTTCAGTGTTCTTTTAAGGAATGTCCACAATATAGAAAACCAAGCAGAATGTCCCATGAAGCCTGATGTCCAGTGTTAGAGACCTCTCACCGTATGCCTTGAACGAAGACCTGTTCACAGCGTGCATTAGTCGAGATTTCTGGCATTGCCATCGGTCCTCCATCGTAGGAGATACAACGCCCACCTCAGAACCAGTGTCTGCCCCCCTGCCCCCCTCACTCCTCCCCCTTCAAAGAAAACTCCTAGCTACACCTCTGCCACAAAGAGTTAAAGTGTGAATGCTCTCCATGGTTTGACTAACTCCCTCTCTTAGATCCAGGCTCTCTACGAAGCAGGTCTCCACCAGTGCCACCTGTGATCATAGCGAAACGTGACTCACAGGAAGTTGCTGAGCACCAAGTCGGCAATGCCGAGCTGCCCGTCGACGTCGGTGAGCCTCCAGTGGGCGTGCTTGAAGCAGACCTCGGCCCGCCGCACCACGCTGACCTCCTGGTCGTGGGACGAGGCCCGCTGGTGGGTCTTGAGTGCTGCCACCTGCGTCTCCCGGTAGCAGCTGATGATCATGGCCAGCTCCTTGCTCGACGCACTCAGCTTCTCCTTGCACTCATGGATCTGGGGCGATCGGAAGGAAGGAGCAAAAGAGAATGAGGTCCAAGAAATGGATAGACTACGAGAGCCGTAAGACACGAAGGACGCCGAAAAACAGCAGTCGAGACAGAGTCATCTTGGAAGATAGTTCTGAAACCTGGGTAGTTGTCCTTGCTCAAGCATGAGCATTAGATTTTGCTAAGATCCATTGGAAAAATGTAAAATGAATGACTGGTCTTTTCCAGAAAAGTATGCTGCACGATGCTGTTAACACAAACAGGCCATTGTCAATTTTTTTTCTATTTTTCTCACAGAGTAGAATGGTAATCATCAAAGCTACTATTGAGGTGGAAAGTGCTCATTTGCAGCACATATTTAATTTGTAAAATTTGGTGCCTGCTAAAGTAAATATAAAAGTAGAAAAATGTAAAATGTAAAAAGCAAAGTAAAATGTGAAAAAGTGCAGACGTTGTGTTCACACTAACAGTGCGATTGACTTTGTGCATACTGATAATCTCGGGTCATCGGGGGACCATCGCAGTATCATTTTCATTAACCGGAGTATGGACAAAGTAGGTATACTTCAGAACATGTTTTCCAACACTACATCCCTATGTTCGTGAGTTTTAATGTGTGCCCATGCTAGGGTAAAAGGAAGTGTTTGTGACAAAACAATTGTAGGAGCACTTAATTTTATTTTTGGTGCAGCAGTTATAGGTATCTAAAAGCAAGTACCGAAAACAAATAAAACTGTAAATTTTATTTAAAAAAAAAAAGAAATGCTTTTTTATTGTATGTTTCTGCTAATTGTACGTGCTTTGTGGGCAGTCAAGTACACATCAAGCTGTGTTGCACAGCCTTTTTTAAAATTATTGTTATCCTCAATTTCTGACAACTAAAATAGATCACTAGTACGGTATTTAAAATTTTGGTAATGTTTTTTTACCCTTCGCTTTTAAGTGCCACCTCTTTTCTGGACAAAACGAACAGATGCTGAACCACACACCATCTAAAATATAGGGTATGACGTTCCGGAATCAGATTGTGTGGGGACATGGCAGACGAGTGCATGCAAGCTCCAAACCTCATGTTCCAGGTGAGCCAAATCAGCTTCCAGGTCAGGGTTGCCCGGGTCATCATTCAGGCTCCGCTGAACCTGGTATGCTTCTCGCTCGAGGTGACGTTGCATCGACAGCAGCGACCTGTCACCCAGGTACACATCTTAAGGCTGCAGCATCAGTAATTGAATTGACAGAAAAATATCTTGGAAGCATTGGCACCGGGACCACAAGTCATTTACCATGACAAACTAGAGTTCTTCAACCAACTAATCTGAATAAGTTAATTCAGCCTTGAATAGGATCATGCTTATGTACTATATCAATCTGCACCCCCAAATCAAAAAGAACTTAACTTATTCACTAGGACAGGGGTTCTCAAACTGGGTTCCGGGGAACACCGGGGTTCCACGAGCTGGTCTCATGGGTTCCGCGAACACCCAAATTGCAACCCCCCCCCCCCCCCCCCCCCCCCCCATGCTGCAGGCTGCACGGCAGGACCATGCAAAGCGCCTTCATCTCACTTTGTACTGACATTGCGATTGATATGGTGGGGATATATGGGAAGCAACACACGCAAAATTGCCTACAATTGTCCATCTGTTGCTTCTCGGTCAGCAAATATGGAGGGGGGGTTCCCAGCAGTTTTCGAAGCTTCCTGGGGTTCCGTGAGGCCAAAAAGTTTGAGAACCCCTGCACTAGGGAAATAGAAGTGCTTAATTGAAAAGAGATATGCAAAGCTTCTGCGACATCCAAGCTATGGTAAGTAAACATCTAGTGTTATTGCAGATTGAATTACTTGCTTATTTGTGAAATTATTTGAATTAAACCTGTGGAAATAACCCACTCAAGCTGCTCTTAAAAATAAGTGGTGGGTTGCAAGTTTCTACAGGGGTATAATTTAAACATAAAAAAAAAAACACAGTTACGAGTGATCTTTTTAATTTTCAATGGGAAATAGGCGGCCAACGAAGCTCTCAAACACCTGGAGCTGAATGGCGCCAGTTATCAAAAACGGGCGAAAACAAGCGAAACTGAGCCACGTTTTCCCATTGAAAGTTTCAAAAAATCCCTTACAGTCGCCAACCGATTCTTCAGACACCGATGATTCGGACTTAGTCAATATTTGAGACCTAAAGGAGGAACCGTGACCTACCCGATAGAAATAGTGCATATTCACGACCAATGTTTTGGAGAGCTTGGGAGTTCAAAAGTTAAACTTTTCGGACAAAATCGTTGCGAGCGATCAGCGGGAAACACCACCGAGACGCCGCCATTTTAAATTTTATGTTGGCTGTACATGAATTGGCTTGGTTTGGCAGCGCTACCTGAGCACTGCTAAGTCCTACCGCTAGGTGATGCTATGCTAAGGATATCTTTTTTCTCGAGCTGCGCGTCATTATCATGATTGTTGTTACCATTTTGCTTCGTTCACACGCCATTCTGCAGTCATAGACGTGCGCCTCTTATCTCGTCATGGTGAATTGTTTTTTCGGACTACACTGGCTTGGACATCATGGCCCCTCTTTCGCCACCGCAAAGTGTAGCTGAGACACATGGAAAGTACTCAACCACAACGCTAGAAAGGAGGCAGCAATTCTCAAGCTAATAGAAAGTGGCCCGCTTAGATCTAATAAAGAAAGGTTTTTTAATCTGCTGATTTTTTTAACTGCTCTATTATTCGGACGTTTTTCCTGTCACTGCAAAGTCCGAAAAATCGGTCGGCGACTGTATAACTTTTGATTGAGAAAACGGTTTGTTCTGAAACTTTGACATCCGGTCTGGACTGCTAGCGCTACATTTGGCCAGAAAATGAGCGTTTGGCAATCCATCGATTATTTTTGTAATAAAAAAAAAAAACATGGAAATTTTTTTCCTTTTGGGGGGGGCAGAATGTTGTATTTTGCTCTTCACATGCTTTGTGCGAAAGCAGGTGCACGGGAATTTTTCAGAGCGTGCGATAGCCGACAACCCACCGACCCAAGGCGAAAATGGCACGTGTGATGCGCCACCGTACCGGACTTGGTCCTGCAGCTGGAGTATTGGGGTGCGGTGGTCCTCCCCCGCGGAGAGCTGTAGCCGGAAACGCATGCGCTGCAGCCGTTCGTTGGCCTCTCTCCGGCGGGGCTCCACGTACAGCAGGAGGTTGTTCACCAGGTCCAGCACCATGGCATACTGCAGCGGATTGCTGCACACCTCCAGGTCGTGGTGGGTCAGCGTGAAGGCGTCCACCGCCGCCTCGCGGCCCCAGGGTTCCTCTTCCTCCTCGTCCGGCTGGGAGACCAAAAACCACTTTACGACATGCCAAGGTTGCTCCCTTCACTGGGATTCGGAAGCCCGAAGCAAAACAGGACACACCTTTCGAACTGGCTTCAAAGTCGGTTCCAAATGGGTCAGATAGAGTCGAGGTTACTCCTAGGTCTGCATTAATCTAATGTGAGAGCGATTGCTCGTGCCAAAGTTAAAAATGCTTCCAGAACCCGTGTTTCTTCTTTTCTCACGGGTTGAGAAACTCCACTATGTAATATTGTACAAAAAAAAGAAAGAAAGAATGATTTTTATTTGTGGAGGAAAAGGGAATGTGTAACCCATGTTGTGGGCAAATTAAAAAAAATAATCAGAATCTGAACTTCAGAAATTGTGAATTTTTGCTTGGAACTCTCTCCGACTTCAGTGTTGTTCACATCTACTTTAGAATGGAATTTAATTTCCCTTGCTGTATTGTTTTTCCGCTGCAGTTGAAGCCAAGGCATGGCCTCGTCGGGCATACATTGCTTTCAACCACGTCCTCCACGACACTGTTGCCGTCTCGAATAAATTGTCTCGTATGTATGTATGCATGAGCGCCATCCCCGCAGGAGGAGAATACGGAGGAGGCCCCTACCAGTGGAGGCACCTCTTCGAGTCCGTCGGGGTCGATGTTCTCCCCGTAGCTGGCGTAGAAGAACTGGCACCCGCAGCGAGAAATGATGCGCTGGAGCTGCAGCGGGGCTGTGTTGGGGTCCGAGGCCCCGCCCACCGTATTGCTGACCACGCCCCCGACCCCCTGGCCGCTGCCCACCAGGTCGGGCAAATCGTTGATCACCGTCGAGGCCCGCTCCTCGATGTTGTCCAGGGTGAGCCACACCACCCCATCCTCCGAAGGACCACGCTCCCCCACGTCCACCGTGGCGTAGTACTGCCAACAAGGGAGGGAGAGAAAACAGGCAAGGAGGTGCCATTGAGCATGTGCTGAGCAGAGTGATGGCACCTTTTGCGTTTGTACACACCATCGCTCGGTACAATTATGTAACTCCGAAGAATGGTTTGCCACTGTTTTATTCGGTAATGTTGACAACACTGAAGCCAACAGGCTTCAGTGTTGTTCTGTCGTAAGACAGATACAAAAAAGAGAGAGCCAAAGCGCCCTCAACCATGTGCAGGGTTGCCACCATTGAGACGTATGGCTCATTCTAGGACAAAATACTCAAAGACGATTGCTTGTCTGCAGTCTCAGCTGCTTTAGCACTGACTGCAAAAATGTAAAAACCTAATCTAGGAAGATTTAAAGCCCACATCCACGTTTTACCTAGAACACCATATAAGCTGCATGTTACAGGAAGTAGGAGAAGTCTTAACAGGCTAAACTTCCTTCAGATAATTCTTTAATAGACGGAGCACAAGTCTACAGAAGGTCTATACAAGAAATGCCTGTCATGCCAAAATTAAGAGTGGAGCCACAGGAGGTATAAATCCTTAAATGATGTGCTGAGCTGACATACAGCAATGAGAACAAAAATAAAGAGTTTCAGAACTTCTAGAGACACTGGCACCAGAATGATAACCCATACAACCGGCACACAATCAACAAAAGAGAAATTAATAAACTTAGAGAAGGAATAAAGAGCATGGAGCACATTATGTAATGTACATTGCAAAACAAAAAGCATTTTAAATATTTTAGAAGAAATGAAACACTTTCATGGCATGCCCCGATTAATATTAGACGTTGGAATTCTTCCTACACAACATCAGTGCAAACCCATTCCTGTTCTGACCTGCATGAAGTCCAGGGAGCCCACCCAGGTTGTCTTGGAGACCAGGGTGTTTTCTTTCCACACAGGACTGTGCAGTCTTTGAAGGATCTGGGCCTTGGCTGCACTCACAATCACATAGCCTGATGTCTCACAGCCACGAAGCATAACCTGCAGATTGTGGAGGGGTCCCAATTTCATCCTATGTCAGGTTCTTGGAGATTCAAAGTAGGTACTACTCAAGTCAATGTAATTTGAATGTGAATTCAAAATGCCCACAGCAAATTGTAGAACAATTGCAGCCCATTTTAGACATCCCTGACAAAGCTCTCGCATGTACAAGATATGTTATAGGGTCAATAACATTGGTGTAATCATGTTTATACCAAGACTGGCAGACCCATGCTGCATCATGCGACATGATCGTGTGACATAATCAGATGATGTGGTCCCATGATGCATCATGCAGCAGAACACTCCACATTACTTGATTATGACATGGTTGCGTCACACTGATGACGTCACTTCCATGTCACTCTTTCATGTCGCTTTTTTTACAGCAATAGCTGTGCTGGGCGAGTGTTGTTTTGGCGAAAACGACCAGAACGTGCGCGCGTTTATCGCAGGTGGCTTTGGTGCCGAGAGAGGGCGTGTACAGCAGTGATACCCTCAACCTCTCGCTGATAATAGTCGCAGCTAAGGTGCAGCGCATTCGGCCAATTGCGATTGCGCTGGGGGCCATGTGATCATGCTCCTCGCCACCTGCTCTTTCTCGTCTTCGGTCGCCTGTTTCCTCGGCGCTCTAAGCCTTTGCACGCAAGAATGGGGCGGCCAAAACACACGCCGGAGCAAACAGCGGCTGCTCAATGACATAAACGCGCTCGTGATAGAAAATGTCGTCAATGTGTAGGTGCCGACAGTCTTACCCTGGGTGTTAGGATGGAATGCATTCAACGTCAAGATCATGCTGTGTGTGAATTTGAAGTGGTACATTGAAGAGAATGTTACCGAGCGAAGAATGGACACGCTGGTGCAACCAGGGCCGGCTTGCTAGAAACAGCGTCTCAGCTGGGGCTGGGTAAAAAAAAGCTTGAGGTACAGCTAAGCACTTCTTAAGAGTTGTGAATGTGAAAGCATGCAAGCCGCTCGTTCGCTCCCTTTTTCGTCTGCAGCATACTTCTCGTCGCCGGCCAGCGCGTGTGCTCCCCTAGGCCAAGGTCTAGGGCCCTAGGCCCTAGACCTTGGACGTTTCATGTTAACGTCGCGCAGCGCCACAGGGTGAGCGCCACGGGGTGAGTGGTCATAAGAACTGACGAGCGCAACGGCCAATGGGAGCCCCATCGACGCACGCCAGCCAATGGAATAGACCGATCTCACTAAGCATTCGGCGCATGCGTGACGCCGCCCTAACTTCAGTTCACAGGAGGCAGACGGCAGTGCACGAGCGCACTCGTGCCATCTCGTGCTCTACACGCGCAGAGCTCCAGCGAGGTTGTCGCATGTGCAGAAATACTAAAGTTCCCTCGATGCATTGCGGCAGCGGTGGCGTAGTCAAACTGGCTGCTGAGATCGGTCTATTGAAGGCGAAATCTATCAGCTTTACTTCGCTCCTAATGGGATCGCGGAAACTAGGTGCCATTTTCGCGCTTCAAACTGATGACGTCAGCTGGCTCCATGGGACAGTTAATGCTTTCGCATTTAAAGCACTGCCAAAGCCAGCGCATGAGCTCAGCGGGACTCAAACCGCGTCTCAAGACGCTGGTGCGCCCCAGCCTTTGCAGTGCTTTCTTTCATCCTGTCTCAGCTGAAACGCTGTTCGAGCAAGCCGGCCAGGGCAATTTGTGCAGCGTGTCCGTGACACAACATCCTTGGAATTCACAGTCAATCAGGACGCATTATCATTGAAATGTTGTACCAGCTGACGCTGTCCATTCGCGTCACGTCGCATGATCGTTGCACAATTTTTGTGTCTGTCTTTTCTTAAAAAGTCTTCCTTATAATTAGAGTTGTAATTAAAGTAGAACTCTAATTTAATTAGAGTTAGAGAATTATATATAAATAAACTTTGAAAACACAGGGCCCTACCTATAATGTACAAAGTCAAACTTAAGCACCCTAGATATAAACCAAGACATGCGACGACACAAGTATATTTTTCTCTGCAGAAAATACTGACTTATTATTTGATAAGGCGAACCAAATGCTCTCCGGGTTGAATTTGTGGAGTACATATAATTCACTTCAAATAAGCACAGACAAATCAAAAGCAGTGCTCTTTCGTCCTAAAAATAAAATAATCAACACTACGAGAGATCTTAGTTCAGACTCAACCAAGATTAAGATTGTAAATTCCTTCAAAATTCTAGGCGTCATTTTTTCGGATAATATGTCGTGGGATGAACATGTTAACTACCTTATTACAAAGCCGTCTAGAACTGTCGGCATGTTAAACCGCCATCGTTATACCTTACCTATACATGTCAAGTTACTAGTTTATAATTCCTTGTTCTACTCGCACCTTAATTTATGGTAATTTAGTTTGGGGTACCACCATTTCAACGAATCTTGAAAAGATACATTTGTTACAAAAAAAAAGCTATAAGAGCCTAGCCGATGTCTCATTTGAATCACATACATCCGACCTATTCAAAAAGTTCCGCATTATCAATGTGCACACTTTGTATTCTTACAGGCTCAGTACAAGCCTTAAGATACAGCTAATTAGGAACACAAACTTTCAGTAACCCTTGGCCGCCTCTCAAAAAATATTATTACTTATCCTACCCGTGGCACTGAATGTTGAGGGGTGGTCACGCCAAGAACAAATTATGGCACTCAAATGCTGAGGCACAATATTCCTAATTTACTAAATCTTTATGAATCGAAAAACTTGGGGTGGAATAAAATGTCAATAGGGGAAATCCGTTCATTATGTATTATGGGTGGTCATGATAACTAGTTACAATCACTGTTCTCGTATCTGATTATATAGCTTTATCTGCCATGGTGAATTTTTGCGTGTTGCAACCTCTGTGTGTATGTATTTTTTTTTATTTTTTTTTTCCTGTTGTGTCCTGTCGCCGTGCACTGTAGGCGGTCAAGGGCTCGTCAAGCTGTGTATGCAGCTTTTTCCCTAGGTCGCCGCCATCGAGTGTGATGGAAATAACATATTATTATTATTATTATTATTATTATTATAAGCACTTGCAACATTAGTTTATTTAGTACCTTGCAGTCATAAGTGGAAGCTTGATTGAAACAGTGATGTCCCAGCCAATATGGACACCCTGCAATATAGACCAACTCTTCAAGGACTGACTAATTCTGAATTATGCCTCGTTAATATATAAACCCACAGTTTAGAGTATGGACAGGTGGTTTGGAAACAAACTGGATAAATACATGCATTTTCGTCTCATTATTATGGAGAGCAAGCAAAAAAATGACCACATCTCCACATGGTGAATGATGTTGATTGGAGCGAAGCTCTGGTGGTGCTGATGATACTGATTTTATTGTTCATAGGTAGTGCTGATGGTGCTGATTTTTTTTTATCGCTCATAGGTACTGCTGAGTTCCGGGTTGCGTTTCGACTTCATTATTACTGCTGTATGGTTGGTGAAATGCAGAGCCAGTGGTTCTTGCGGATCAGCTTGGATCCGCTAGAAGCCGTGGGAATGCATCTCCACCGCTTAAGTCAACGGTCCATGACAGAAAGAGAATGTGTGATATGGATTGTGGTTATATACGCAGTTGAGCATTTGACCGCAGCGCCCTCTCGTCTATAAACGTTGAGCCAATGCATGCAAAGTTTAACGCGATTACATACGGATTTGACCGCAGCGCCCTTTCCTGTATAGACATTGAGCAACTACATGCAACGTTTCATCCGTGACAGAAACCCCAGCTCTTGAGTTACTACCACATCTCAGAGCCCCCTACTCGTCCCGCAGTCGTGGCCGAGTGGTTAAGGCGATGGACTAGAAATCCATTAGGGTCTCCCCACACAAGTTTGAATCCTGTCGACTGCGCAAACATTTTTTCTTTTTATGTGAGCACGGACCGGACAAGGCTAGACCCTAAGGAACTTCGCCCCTAAAAGCAGAGGAAGCGAGGAGGAAAATCATTATTTTGGCTTGATGGGGTTCAAACAGACATCACTCTGCTGGACGCTTCTACTTTGATGACTTTTGCCAGAGTCTTGTCGCCTCACGATTCCTGTTTGGACAGGCCTTCAGCCCCTGTTGATAGCACGCCACGCACGGATGCAAGCATGTGTGCACCAAATAATAAAGTTTCGCAACAGCCTACTCCTTGCAATCGACAAGGCGCCCAATTTGGTCAGACGCCACAGTCTTTGCCAATGCGATTGCCGGCTTTCCCAGCATTGTTCTTCGTCGCTTTTTTCGTCTGCCCGCTCTCTTGCTCGCTGCACCTGTTTAGTTTTTCTATTTTCTTGTTGACTTTTTCTTTCTTTTTATTGACGAGGAGAACATAGCAGCATTAGAAATATGCTTTCGCGGTCCAAACATTTGTGCTGCATGCCGATCGGCGGTGTTCATCGCACGTATGCCAGCAATGTATCTCTTGTGCAGTCACACTAGATAAGTAAAAAAAATATACTAGGCTTTTCTTTTTTAATTTTTTGCATTTATCTACTTAGACATGGCCCACCCCACTTTGTTTTATGAATTTCAGGCGGCGGGGGGGTGGGCAATGACTTGGGATATTACGGTATATTGCTGTAGTGGCAGACCTTTGTTAGCATTAGTGGCCAATACTTAAGGGGAAACACTGCTTCTTGAGCTTTTTTTTTATTTATGGTCCAAATCGAATGAAATTTATAGAGCATAATCATCTTCCCATTCTGATGACAAATATGTACTTTGCTTTAAAATAGCTTGGTTAGTTTTGATAAAATTAACTATTTTATTTGAACATTTTATGGGCGAGATTCCAAAAAATTATGATGACAAAACTCAAAAAGAAATATATCTCTGTAAACTAGAAGGTCTACAGAATCCAATAAGGTATAAATGAAGGCTCCATGACTACTTATAAAATTTTTGCGGCATTTCAAAATTTTCAGTTTATAAATCAATTTTTACAATCTATGTTGGAAGTGCTGACAAAAAATACTGATGCCTAGGTTGATGCAATTAGACCCCTTATTGGATACCCCACTTATACACCTACCAAAGAAAAAAAGAATTAGGAAGATCGGTTGTGTACAGCCTGAGATACGGCTTCCGAAAACTAGCAAACTGCGCAAAAAGTTCATTTCGAGAAAACAGCAAAAAACGTCCACGGACGGATTTTTACTGCTACCCGCGGCGAACTCCACTCGGATGCGGCATCCCCGCAGATCTTGCAACATCGCTTGAGTTTTACTGCAAGTCCATACTCGCGACCGCATTTTATGAGTTCGACATCGCCGCAACAAGCTTTACACTTCGCGAGTTGAAGAAGCGAGTTCACGACGTCGAGGCTTACGACGATGAAACTCTGTACTCTCGGGAGCTTCTTGATCGGCGCCCGAGACGCCGGCCATCAGGGCAGCTTTCCGCGTCGTAGCGGACGTCGACGAAAGTTCTTTAGAGTTTTTCCTCGGCTTTTTTTTCTTTCTCGTCGATCTCGGAAGCGCGGAGCATCACCGTGTCGAGCCGCACTCGCTCGCTTGAAGTCACGGATGTCGACGGCGCCGTCGATGCGACATCTTCGTGTTCGGGCTCCCGCACCTCGTTGTCGACGTTCAGGCCCGCGGGAAGTTAAACTGCGCCGTGGATTAGCTTCCTCGAGCCTTTTTTTCGTTTTTTTTTTCTGAACTTGTGGGCCGTATGAAACTTTTTCCGTGGAGTTGTTGTGATCGGCATGATCAAAGACGCGCACGAGAATCAAACAAGATGGCGGATCGGAAACAACGAGCAGACGCTTCGTAACCCTAACGGCCAATGAGAAAGCGCCATTTGCACACGTGATCCAAAACAGCCAACCACGTGGCAAGACTAAGTTTTTTATTTGTGCTTCGTTCTCGGCGGCCAATCGCCGTGTAGCATTGTGAATGGCGGGAGAAGAAAGAGCGGGAGCGGAGCTTTCAAATGAGACCAAGATGTCCCCCTTCTATTGCGTTGTTCTCGAGCTACCGGCGGTCAAATTGTACCTTTTTTTTTTGCTTTTTTCGGAGAAAGCATTTCCGTTTAGATACTTCAAATCAATACCCCGAAATAAATAGGGTGTATTTTGCGATAATATTTTGAGAAAAGATGCGAAAATATCTGTAGATATTAAAAAACATAATTTCAAAAATGTGATTTTTTTGTCATTTTTTTGTTTCAAGGAGCCGTGTCTCCCCTTAAAGTTATGTCAAAATCTAATCCGTTCTAGGTAGTGGTACCCGCTAAATGTAAAGATATAAAAATAAATTATGTTGACGAAGTTGGGCACATACCTTATAAATGAAAAGTGCCTCAAACAGAGTACGACAGAGGGAGAGATACCTCAAAGTGCTACTTCAATCTAAGAATTTATTGAGGATACACCGACAAAGCACCTCTGTGCTATGTCACACCTCTCATATTAAAATATAAATTCCAACCTGACGAGGCCTATCAATAGTTCATACATTTTCACTAAGTCTTTAATTGAAAGTAGTGCTTTGTGGTGTCTCTCCTTGCCTCCTTGAAACATTTTTTGTTTGCAAGTTTCATATCAGCTAGACCACCTATCTATTTTATTTAATGCGCGAGTTCCAATCTGTCTTCTGCTTTCTCCAGAGTTGAAACATCATTTGCAATAAAAATAACACCCGATGTACAAGAGTGTGAGGTACAGTCACAGACGATATGAAAAAGCCCAGGCAAATAAGTGGCTTAGAAGGCCTGTAGCACTAATTATCAGAAGAAAACTCAACCATTCAGTGGCTGTTCAATTTTTGTCATCATTCCCCGTTTGACCGGTGTTGCCGATTTCAGCGCCAACTGTAAAACCGTTCTCCGACAAAAGGCAAAGTGTGGCATGGCTGAAACCACCAGGTCGGCTGATTGAGTGATCAGTTTTGGGGCGTTTGATAATAAATTCCTGAGATAAATGATGATAAGCGGTTATTATGTTATTTCACCGAGCACCACTACCATCAGTAATGATTCAGCAACCATTTGACGACTATGCGGGGAGTAACCACAGAAATCAAACAGCTGCTGAAATACTGCTTGTTCACACAATAGCCTCGATGATAACTCGGCACTCTTCTGTCAGATAGCACTGGCAATCTTCAAGGTCACACGCTTGTTCGGGCTTTGTCTGTGACATACCTGGCTGTTGACAAGCTCCACGAGCCAGTTCTTGTGAAGCACATCGTTGGCCTGGCAGGCTGCCACGCCGTGCAGCTGCTCTTCCTCCGTGCCAGGGCCCTCCACGTCCTCCGTGTAGACCGTTCGGGGACCGGAGGACTCCGACACCAGCTGCTGAAGCATCGACACTGCCGGGGAGGCACCCCTTCGGGCAGGACGTGGGCTGAGGGACAGAAACAGCGGCCGTTCAAAGGACAAGCAACACAAGGTGCATTGTTTAGTTAGAAGTCGGAATGAACTTTATGCAATTCCGTACTGTGCAAACTTCATTGGCCGAGGATCTTACGCATCTCTAGGCATTAGAAAAAGGAAATGTGTGGAAGTTTAAAGGCCACTTATCGGAGCCTAGATGAAGCTTAACAGAACTGAGGATATTGCAAAATGTCCAATAAAATTAAAGTGCCTAGCCAATAAATCTTGGGGGATACACTGCCAAAAAAATTCATGGTTCCTCGCCATGTCTTGTAAACAAACTGCGGCAATAGCCGAATCGCTGTACTCTACTTCATAGACTGCATGGAATCACACTGTCCATTAACCATAACGTCACTTGATATCACAGCATCACGTGACGCCGTGGCATCACGTGATGTAGCGGTATTACGTAACATCAGTGTGATGCAACTTTACAATGTCACGTCACACCCATCACAGTGTCACCTGGACCTCATCTCCTTCAAAGGACATGCTACTAATATGAAGTCTTCATCGCATCAATCAAGTGGCAAAGAAAGAACAGAGTGTCATAGAGTGAGGCCCGTGCGCACCTGGGCCTCATCTCGGGGGACGCCAGCGGCTGCGCGTCCACCCGGAAGCCCCGGAGAGCGTCGGTGGACAGGTTCCTGCGCAGCAGCTTGGCCCCCACGTAGCTGTCGAAGAGGCCGAACACCACGTCCCGGTTGTGCTTGGTCCAGGCGCCCCGCAGGCCGTGCACTGCCAGCAGGTGCGTTGGCGTGTCCTCTTCCTCCGTCAGTGCCGCAACGCCGGTCGTGCGCACTTTGGTCTCTCGGCCGTACGACACCCGAGACACGCTGAGGAAGTACCTGGGGGGGGGGGGGGGGGTCGTGGGGCTTAGACACTAAAGAAGCACGGAGTAAACTTGGAGCTTGTAGTTTTTAATAAAAATTAGGTGCAGCATTCACTGATAAAACAATTGCACGACTTCTCTTTCGTATGCAAGCACTTGTTGCCTTCTGATGTGCACTGGCCGCGTGCTTGGAGCTCATGAGATGCTAAAGTGTTGTCGGAAGTAGGAAGTTTGCGCTGGAGGTGGAACGACTGACAGACCTCCCAGCTGTTCTTATCCCATCAGTGACTGTGGTGATACTAATACTTCCGTTTGAACTGCTGCTTTAGAAGCCCACAGACAAACAACAAACAAGGCAACAAGCGTCGCTCTGTTTGCTAACATGCAGGTGATGGTATTCTTGTAGCTGTTGCCAGCTGAATGGAGACGCATAAAACTACGCCAGAGAAGAAGGAGAGGTGCTCAAGGTCAGAGGCAACCGCACACAACGAGCGCTTTGGTTGTCTAAACAATTGCGTGAGGCACGGAGACTACCTCTAGCTGTTGTGCCTCGGTGCCCAGGAATGTTTCTCAACAATCTGTACAACATATGATGTCCTAATTATAACTTTTTGTTCCAACCATTCAATAAATAAAAAAAAGTGAAGCTGGGGTTTTGCATTTCTCTTCAAAGCATAGTTTATAAAGAAAAAGGCTCGAGGTACACTTAAGCAGTTGTTATGAGCTGTGAATGCGAAAGCATGTTTGTCATTCTTCCGCGTCGGCCGATCGCGCGCTCTCCCAGCTCTCCTTGCCGCTCTGACCTTGGACACTTGTAATTTTTTAATTTGCGAAGGTTGGGTCCTCAGGAACATCAAGTCATTTACAGTATCAATTACACCACTATATGCTGAATACAGATGAACACAGCGGATCCTAACTCCATTCTCAACCTTCCAGGACACGATGCAGCGTTAGGGTTAGCCGTGGCTAGCGTCACCACATTGCATCCTTTTTCTGTATCCCTTTTTTTTTTACTAGTTGTTGTTTTTGAAGTTTTTAGCAGCTGGCAAAGTCTTCTTTCAGTTCTACATAAAAAATGCACTATATAAAAACAAACACAAAGATGCGATACCCGGAGTCTGACATGCTTTCTTCTCGATCCCTGTTCCATTAATGTGACATTTGTTTCCTCGTAAGTTTCTATGCTATTTTTATGTTTCTGCCAAGGCTTTAGGATAGAAACTAGAACTGCCCGGATTTTATTTGTACAGGCTATGCCACACATTATGGGGAAAAAGGCAAAAGGAACCAATAGCTACCACGCATGTGCATAGTGCTGGACATACTGAAGAAAAAAAAAAACAATGTTTATTCCACAGCATAAACTATATGTTGCTTAATGCCCAGTCTCCAACCAAAAGTAGCGCTAGCAGTTGGGACCAGTTGCCAAAGTTCCAGAACCTACCATTATGATTAAAAAGTTGCGAGCGATTATGAGAAATTTTCTGGGAGCAAACGGTGGCAGATGCCATTCATCTCCATGTATTCGCAGGCATCGTCAGTTGCCATTTATCTTATCAGCTTTCAAATATCCTGATGGATGCTGTCGAAAAGTTTCACTCCTGTAAGAAGAGTATTTTTTCCATAACAAATTATTTCTGACATGCCGGCACCTTCTAAAGTGCAGCCTTCTAAACTTTCAAACACATTAACCTCCATTTTACTTTTTGGCATGAAATCTCAGTTCAGGTAAACTAACATCTGAGATAATGAATTGATGTGTGAAGCCAGTTTTTGAAGTATCTGTACTAAAATTTTGTAAAAACGGAGCTGTGAGCTTACTCTTCTGCATTTTCATGGTCTTTTGTTATGAAAGGCTGCAGTACCTTCAACACGATGCATGCAAAAAATGAAAGCTGTTTCACATTTTTATTTTCAATGAACTCTTTGACGGTCAAGTTTCTCCCTCAAAAGATGTTTCTTAGGGATCGGGTTTTGTTTCCAAAGGAATTATATAAAGAATGGGTGAATGTATGAGATTTTTTTCTAATTCTCTAGCGGGCGTACGTACAGTGCTCGCAAGTTGTTCAGGTTTAGAAGCGTCAAATAGAAATATTGAAGGCGAAAAGTAGTCACCTTTCTTCCATTCGGTTTCATTTTGGGCACGACCGCTTCCTTGACATTCCGGCGGTTTCAGATTCTGAATTGGCAGTACTTTCCAGGGCTCCTCCATCGGATGGTAAGCTCTCATCCTCTGAATTCAATTCTGAGAGGTGTTAAAAGTCTGAATCGGAAGAGCCGGCATTCTAATTGCCACTACTGTAAATATCCCCAACAAAGCAAGACAATGTGGAAATTTAATGTTCATAGTTCGCCGATCAGATGTCAAGTAGCAACACTGTCCACGGCGTGCGCAATTTCGCGTTTAGGCGGGCACTTTCAAAGATGCGATTGCCGCCGTACATGTACGGCGACGACTGTCAAACGGTTAAAAATGGTATAATTCCCACAATTTCTCTCCATAGCCGCATCACACAAGTGTTACGTATACACTATGTTTCACCAAAAGAACTGGCCATTATTATTACCTTTTTTAAACGATAGTTTCACTCAGGTGCCACAGTGAGATACTTCTACATAAATCTTTGAAGGATAAACTTATAAACATAAAACTTTGCATGTCATCCCCTTGCCCAGATACATGTCCTGCAAATTTCGTACAAATAAAACTAACGATTAAAAAAATTAAACTTCCTAAGTAGTGTCCTCTCTCAATGAGATAACAGCGAGTTCTGCAATTTCAACACTGGGTGCCGATGCGTAGCGCTTTCTTTTGGGCAGAGACTGAGCATTCGGCGATGAGTAGTTCATTCCTGCAAAAAGAAAAAAAAAGAGAACTCTTCTCCCCAACACTGGATTACAGTCGAATCTCGTTAATTCATACTCTCTTAATTCAAACTTGCAGATAATTCGAACTAACACGCAGGTCCCATCCTATGCGTCTCTATGAGAGGAAACTCCCGTTAATTCAAGCTTTGCTTTATTCAAACAAATTTCCGGTCCCTCTCAAGTTTGAATTAATGAGATTCGACTGTATATTGTGGCTCCTAGCGAGGGCGTCGCCACACGGCCCCACCTGCGTTGCGGGGGCAGCGGTGCTTGGGGTTCAGCGCCGCCGGCCCTGTCCTCTCTGGAAGACGGCTCCCCGAGCCCCTCAGCCTCTTGCTGCTCCCCGGCACCTGCCTGGTCTCCCGCGGCGGACTCGCTGCTCGTGTTGTACAGCCACACCTCGCTGTCCCCGAGCTCGCAGTTCATGTAGACCACCGACCAGTTGGCCCGAGGCCTAGCAGACAGCCGGCCGAGGCAAGAAACAAAGCAGCGGTAAGGCTATTGATACCGAGAGGAATGCTAGTACTGTAGCGTCTAATCGTTATGGAACGAAATGACATGCAGAAATGAACAGATTCAACCTCTGTATCAGATAATGTGCTCTTCGTGCTACGTTAACAATGTGCAGCGGGAATATGATGTGGGCTATATAAAAAAATCTTTTTTATCTGGTGGTTGTTAGGAGAGCATTTTTAGTGGCATTTTTTCAGGCTTTCAACTAGTGTTTCTACTATTACTGCTTAGCAATAGCATCACTGAATGCTTCCTTTTGTCATCTAACTAATGAACACTCATAAACATGCCATTGGCATTTACAATGTATCAACAATGCCTATCCAACCACAGGCTGAGCTACAGCTCAGGAATGGTTTCAGTATAATGCAGATGACTGAGTCAATCTATGTTTAAACTGTTAATGAGAGCAGATAAGCCTTCATATCTTGCATTAATTGCATTAAAAAAAATACATTTTTCAGAACCTATTTTACATCTCAACACTTGACAGTGTTACACAACTTAATCCACAACTTCGAAAGACTAAAAAGAACTGATATATCTGAAAAAAAAAAAAAAAACTTGCGCTAAAAAGATTTTTTTGAGCTTCGTTACACTGATTCATACTCAAACGTCCACTAGTCACTATTCCTGTATAGCAAGCTATCGATAAGGTAGCACTGATTTGAAAACTGGCTGTAAAACAAGCCAGAAAATCAGCTCTTGCACATAATGAGCTAGAAATTTCACTGAAGGTGTATTTTACTGGTGGGTACCTTGTAAAGTTTCAAAGCATAGCTCCATTGCAACACAAAAAAAAAAAGAAAATTAAAAAATTTGAGGGACGGATGTCGACGCACACGAGTCAAGCTGACAGTCAAGTTGGGTCTTCCTATCGAGAAGTGTTGTAACAAGCCATTAAAACCAGATGACACCAACGAGCAATGTACCTGTGGCAGGCTTGCACAAGCCTGCCACAGGTACATTGCGTTTAGGTTCAGCGACGACCGAGAAAACTTGTTTGCTTGGGGAGGGTTCCTAGCAACAAAGTCCGAATACGCTATCAGCATGCATGTGCAGGAGAGAACATATGCTAATTACAAACAAGAGAGTCATGTGCAAGGGATGCACTTATACTTGCAAACCAGAAGCTAGAAAAAGTGAACTTGAGGAGGAGAAGAAAACCAAAGAGGGCCACTGGTCACTGTGGGTGGTAACCAAGGTGAGCCCTACCTTGGAGTGGTCTGACACATGCGGCTGGTGGCCATGAGAAAGGGCACAGACCAGCAGGGGCAGCAGGAAGAGGACAGAGGGAAGAGAGCAGTTAGGAATTAGACAGAAAGGAGGCAGATGTCACACTCATCACAGAGACAGCTCTCAGAGCATCACAATTCCTCACGCACAGGTGTTTTCGTTCTACTGAAAAGCATATACTGACATGAAACTTTCAGCTCCCTAAAAATATGCGTTCCCAGGTTTTCATATTGAAGCAGCTGACTGCTGCAAAAGTCTTGAAAATAAGATGCATCGTTTTTCTTAAAAGAAACTTCTACTGCCCACTCATTTTCTGAGTGGCTTTGAGCGAATGCACCATCGTCGACATGATTTGTTGTTACATTTGTTGCGTAGAAGGCTCGTTACGACGACCATATTATCCGAGCCTCTCGTGTTTTAGTGTTATTTCATACTGCTAGAGTGTAGTCAGCGTTACATGCGGTATTGGTGTAAAGCCTCAGGAGAGTTTCAACTTTGACAATTATTTGCATGAGGCATAAACCAAGAGACACCATATACAGTCTAAGCTCGTTATAACAGACCTTGATTTTGATGAAGATTTCGGGCTGTTGTAAGAGGAGTATGTTGTATGCAGATATGAAGTTGAGTCAATGGTAGTAGAGGAAAACCAACAGAACTTCACAAATCGGTATGTTATATCCAAATGTCTGTTGTAACCAGGTCTGTTGTAATGAGCTTAGACTGTAGTAGAATAATGAAAATGATGTACAACAGGTTGCAACAAAGTGGCCCGCATATGAAAAGCAACCAGCACAGCTACAGCTGCATCAGTGAGAGGTGTTCCAACTAAGTGCCATCCCATACTTCTGCTATTGAGGCTCGGCAGATGTGGTAAAGTACTTAGTGCCAGCTTTACTTATCTCGCACGTCACCTGGGACCTGCAAAGTGAGAAGCTAGGAAATATGGTGCATGTGCCGTTTGCAAACTAACATAAGAAAGTGCCCCTAGTACGATGCAAATATTCCTCCAGAGAGAATTTAAGAAGCGAGATATGCACCACTACTATGTCTGCCACAATTATTAAAAGTTGAAAGGTGTAAGGTATAGACCTTTTCATTTCAGTAGTTGCCTGACCGGCGGGTAGAGGGCGCTGGCGCACTCGGCGCCATTAGGTTGCTTCAATTTGGTCGGTTTCGGTTTCAACATACACGCGATTGTGATGCTGTTTCATGCCACTTTCGATTAATTTTGCGATATGAATTTCTTTCTAGTAGCACACAGCGAATGAAACAATAGTATTGAGCCACTTGGCAAACCACGAAGTGGTTTCGAGCCTAAATTGCGATCTTTTTTTACGAACACTATATGCGTCTGATTCCGTCCATCATTAATTTCTGTCCGGTTCGGCGGTGAAACAACTGCGCTGACGCACAGGGAAAAGTACCATTGTACACGGCCGTACCTGCGGACACTAATTTCAAGAATAAAAAAAAAAAATAAAGAGCCGGACAAGCTCCTCCTGCAGCCTGCGCTCGTTGCCTGCCGCCGTGCTTTGACTGTGCGTGCACCGAGCTGTACGGAAGTAGATAGCTCGCACTCAAGTCAGATATTGAACTGATCATCTTATATTGCAACAGACTATATTGCATGAGTGCTTAGTGAAAAATCAGGTCGACAACACGATCAACAATCTGCTGAATCACCAAGAACAGATGAACTGACAAGTTTACTGTTCGATGTTTGGTTCCCGTACATTAACCTGTTCTAACTTCGAGACTGAAAACATCTTTTATAATGACTAGAAAAGTTTAATATAATCACGTAGATAATATAAAAAAGTGATATTGTCTCAGCCTGTTTTATTTAAAGAAATTAAGCACTCGAGAAATATTTTGATAGACCAGCCTAGGCTGACTAGAAAATTTCTTTAACTAAAGTACTCATTTACAGCATTTAAAAATATTGGCCTTATGAAATAAACTTTTTGTTATATGGACATTTGCTTACGACGTTCTCAACGTATGAGAATGGTAAGATAAGTGAATGCCAGGCTTCAAATAAAGCCTGATAGTCATCTTCCATAAAATTTGCCGAATGAAATTGAAGAGCGCAAAAGAAATTATCTCCGATAAGTTTGGCTGAAGTCGAACGCCAGGCGCCACCCAATGGACCTTTAGAGAAAGCTGTTCACTGATTTGAAACGATGCGCTTTGCACATTTTGACGTCGCCATCTACTGAAAGTAACTTTCTATTCGAAGCCGACAACCGGCTGCACTCGGGTGATTTTCATGCAGAAGAATTCTTTTCGGCGTTACATTTTATGAATCATAGGCACTATCAAGTTGTCTGTGGAAGTTTCTTACGTGCAGGGTTCAAATATTTGTGTTGAAATAAATTACTTGAAACTGCATGGTTATATTAAAAAATGACTTAAACAACTGAAAGACTATATAGACATGTAACCAAGCAGGATATACAACTCCGTGGAACTCATAAACAAACCGATAAAGCGAATGCTTATATCGCACACGTGATTAAGAACGTAAAACAGATATAGGTGTGATATTGCGAACAAACAAGTTGCCTAATGTTAAGGTGCCATTATTTCTAGCATTAAAAATAATTCAAACTAAATGTTTGTTCCCCCGCCTTGTCCACTAGTTCCCTAGTGTAACCAAAAAAAAAACTGTTTTCGATCTGTTGTAACTACAAAACACCATGTTTTCAGGAAAAACACGTGGCTAATTACGCTGAGTGTTTTTGTTTTCTTCCTTGACACCAATGTGCACTCATATATATATATATATATATATATATATATATATATATATATATATATATATATATATATATATATATATATATATATATATATATATATATATATATATATATATATAATAACATTGGGCTTCCTATTGCAAATGGTCCCCCTCGAGGCTCGCACGCCGACGGTAAAAAATATTATAAACGTGTTACAAAATCAACTACAGAAGTTGCGCGCATAATGATGCAATGCAATTGCATGGTAAGTATAAGTATCGGACGACACTTTACGGAGTAAGGCAAGAGACGCGGTGAAACGAGACGAAAAACACGAATTCAACGCGTCCGCCAAGGCGCGGACGGGAGAGCGGAGCAACAAGTTGAAGCAACCTAATGGCGGCCGCATCACGTGATTCCAAGATGGCAGCGCCCATGCGGCGGAGGGTGAAAAGGTCTATAGTGGCACTGTCTGGGAGGTAGTACTATAACGTAAGGCATGTCACTAATGCCTGCTTCCTCTGGATTGTCTAACCAAAGGTAACAATACATTTCTTTTTATACAGAATGTGTCATATGGCTGGCATGTAACCATATTTGATTAGGTGAGGGCGACGGAAGTCGACAAGCCGGCTGCCAGCCAAATGCTGATGGAGCGCTCCGTTCCTCGATGGTTGGGCACAGGTGCCAGGCAAACCTCTTTTTCAAGTGCCTCTGAGTTAATCCCGGAGGGGCTAAAACATTGCGTGTTCAGACACACAGCGAATTTCTGCTCCGCAAAACGAGTGCGCTCCAGGATTCCCCGAAGAAAGAGCTCAAGAAAGAGCAACAAAAAAGCAGAGGAACAAAGCAGACTCCTTTGCCGCAACGGGTTGAAGTAGTTCCGACTGTTTGATTCTCTTTTGCTGCGAGCTGGCACCAGGGCTTTGCTCGACGCTGGCGCGTTCCAATTGTTGTTTTCCGCACGCTCCGTCTACTGCGTCTTACACTTCAACAGGCTCCGAGAAAGTCGCATTCACACCGGAATCATGAAAGATGGCACCCACAAACAAAATGTCCACGGATGCTCACGCGTCTACCTTGCACAACACAGGGCTGCTTCATGCCATCCAGTCTCCACATGTGTGCACACTCTCTCCACACTAACGCATCACAATCTCTGTTACCCCTACCTTTGCCACATTAGTGCAGCAAAGGGGAAACTTTTTTTCTTTTCTGACCTGTCACTGAGCTAAAAACAAATTCTGAAGGTTCGATGACCTCCCTATCATTTTGGGAGCAATCCATAGGTCAGTGGGTGGCCTATGAATCCCTGCCATCGGAATCATAGGTCAGCTTGTTGCATTGGGGTCACTGTGGTGGTCAGACAATTTGTTATTAAGCTTACTACAAGATTAACATTAAACTCGGTAAAACTAAGAAATATGAATTGGCCCCATTATGAAATGGGAAGGGCTCAAAACAATGTAACTGTTCTATCTAAATGTTTTTTTTCTCTAATACCATGACCACTGACCACTGCTGTCAGACTTGACAATCAAGCAATGCTGACACAGTTTCTCTGTCTCTTGTATTCTACTCCTGCGACCAACAAGCACTCTTGTTAGCTTCAAAGCAAATTGCTTTTATTGGCTGATTTGTAAGTCCAGAGTGGTACAAAAAGGCAAAGACTTTAATGACTTCATTTAATGAATTTTTGAGATTTGTGTTGTGCTGTCCTCTTTGTCCACACTCTCCAGGGTTAAAATAAGGCCTGTTCACACATGCAGCGGAGCGCTACAAGCATAGCGCTGACCTCGCGCTAAGCGCGTGCTGACGGGAGCCTTCACCAGCTTTGTATCGCACCGTCAAAACTGTTGCTCATGGCAGACGATAAGTAGCTGACGGCACGCAAGGAGCGCTACATCAGCGCTTCGCTGCATGTGAGAACCGGCCTATAATGTCTATTTTCAACCAGCTCGCATGCACCCTTGAATTAACCTCATTACGAAAAGTTGCTACGAAAACGAAATAACAGGGTTGTACAACGATCACGTGGTTGGTGCCACTATGGGCTACACGGTCAGGTCACGTAACATCACTCTTACGTCGTGGTGTCATGTCACAGCCACATCATGATGCAGTGTCATATTGACATTGTGATGTTACTCGACACCATGACTTAACAGTGATGTCTTGTGAAGTGGCCACGAGGTTGGTGTCGCATGACGCCACCCTGGCGACATCATGTGACCGCTGCCCGCTAAATCTAGCAGGAAAATATCATATATCGCCCCCCCCCCCCTATATAACAGCCTCTTAGTCTGCACTGGTCTCAAAAAATTTTTTTTTAATTTTTCATTTAATTTATATTAAATTTTCAAATCTACTAGAATTTTTGAGCTGAGCACAAACATAAGCTCACTATCTTTATCACAAATGTTTCTGCCCCACTGTGTTGCAATACCACCATCAAAAATCTGGCACAGAGTATGTTGACATGTTCTACAAATAGTAGAGAGTGCAATGAAACCATTATTCTAATTTTAGCGTAATTCTAAAAAAAGTTATCACAAGTTGAAAATATTTCACTCATAATTAGGAATAAGTCTTTGCCGATTAGAAAATATTGTAGCCAACATTTTTCAGAAATATCAGTCTCGTTGCACTTTCTGATATACAAGGTATTAAACCCTGAAAAAAGTATTCAGATCCAATCCTTGATCAAAAGATACAGTGGGCGAAACTTTGTGCGCTAACAAAAAAATTAATTCTGAGAAAGCAGGAAAGGTTTTTCAAAACATGCTTGCAAACAATATGGATATAGAACTTTGAATTCATGTAACTACATACATGTGCACTTCCTGAGTGTAGTATTTAGAAAATATGTCGTTTGTAATTTACTAATAAAGAAACAAATTATTTTAATATATTTAATTGTTTAATTTTTTTGAAGATTAAAGTTTTTTCTTAACTCTGACTTCATACATAGGATCAAGGCAATTAAGTCTCTTTTTTGCAAATCGCATTATACTGCTGCTGTAGTCAGATTCAAATTAAAAATTCATTACTGCCAGCCAATGTTCCACCACAATAAAAAGAACAGTCCGCTACCGAGACGCACATCTGACTGACGCCTGCGGAGCCTGCAAGAACAATACAGTCTGGGCACAGAAAAAACATAGTACTTTCATCCAAATGGGCCCCAAAATTCACTGATCGCCTTCGCACACCCTAGTCGTGCCAATGTCTTTCTCTTCCACAAGCCCCCACACCATGTAACTCGTCATGGCTACTACCTTTCCTGGTTGGTCCGCAGAACGATTTGATGCCGTGGCTGGTATAGGGCAATTTTTGTTTGGCACATTTGCAAAGGAGCACTAAAGTAAACTCTGAAATTGTTTTTTGATGGTACAAACTCAATCTATACACCCTAAGCATCCTAGAAAACCCAAAATTACAATCACGCGTGTCCTTTCTCCCCCTTAAAAATGCAACCAAACATTGCGGTTCGCCCTTTTTTTGAGATATAGCTAAATAAAAGAATGCATTGCAGCGTTTGGTTGCGCTTTTAATGCGCCGAGAAACCGAGGGCTAGGAGGAGACGAGAGCGCGCAGAGAACAAAGCCACGCATGGTAGAAATTTTGGGTTTTCTACGATGCTTAGGGCAAATAGACAGAGTTTGCAACATAAAAAGAGGATCTCAAAATCCACTTTAGTGCCCCTTTAAATTTTGTGTTCGCCTCGAGATTCAATCGGCACAGCTCATCTGGCAAAAAGCAGAACTAAGCTTTCTTTTACACTTGGTACTCGGAGCAAAACGAATGCTGTGGATGCGAGGCTGAAGCCATGGGAGGCGCTGATGCAACGCTTGTGCACTGGAATCAACTGCTAAGAGCTTGTGCCCTGTGCCATTAGTGTGGATGCTTTGTCTCCACCCGCATTGTGGACAGATGGAATCACCATGCGCCTCACGGAGAGCCATGGGTAAACAAGAGCACACTTCCCCTAAATTCATTCATTGAATACAACCATAGTGCCGTATGACTATTGTGTTACGACCCCTTGAGATTCCCCCCTTCGCACTCTTGTGAGGAAACAACTGGCATGAAAACCGAAACGGCAGCCGTCCCCGGTTCCTTCCCCCGGGGGGGAGGGGGCGCACCTGTGCAGCAGCCCGTCGCGAACGGGCTCCAGGGTGAGGCCGTGCTCCGAGCTGAGCTGGAGCCGGCCGGCGAGCAGCTCGAAGCCGTGCTGCTTGGCCAGGGAGGTCCAGTAGCAGACTTGGAACTTGTGCAGGGCCACAGCCAGCTGCAGGCTCTTCACGTGGCGCGTCAGCTGCGTCTTGCGGGGCTTCACGTTGTCAAACAGGGGGCCCCGACGCGTCAGCTTCGGCTGCCCGCCGAGGATGGCCTGCGGTTCGGGGGTCGACGGGCTGAGCAGGAGGCCTTGTCGCGACGCTAAGTGACACAACGACCGAGGCACGTCACTCAGTTTCACAGTAAAATGACCACGGCCAAAGTCATAAGCAGCAGAGCCAATCGGGAGTCGTGAGGCTTGGAGACATTGAACTCTCCAAACTTGAACTTCAAAGAAATTCTAAATCTACTAATTTCTCAAACTTGAACTTAATACAAAATTTTAAAATGTCAAACACAAACTTCGAGAAACCTTTGAAGCTAAGCCTTGCCAATTCAAACCTCAGCGAAGGTAAAAAAAATCAACACTTTTGAACTCCTTTTTTGAGAGATTAACAACATCTCTGAAAAGAGATGTTGCTATTTTTTGGTAATATAGACATAACGACATTCTAAGCAGCTTTGTAAGCATCCACCAGGTGCACTCTGGTAATCGTTTTAGTACTTGCTTTGAAGAAATATTTCGAGACCTTCTGAACGAAAAGTTGGGTGTCCCTGTGGTGTTGCCAAAACACTGGTGACATTTAGACAATAACAAGAGCCAGGATTTCATTTTGATACCCCTTGAGCATGCTGACAAAGGACTGGGAGCACAGCATCTGTCCTTCACAGACCACACTCCGGTGGGGTTTGTGATAGATTTTTCGTTCTTTTTATCATGTACTTTTTTATTTTTGTTTTGTTTTATTATTTTATTTTTATTATTTATTTATTTGTTTCGTTATTTATTTATTATTGTATTATTTTTATTCACAAATTTTATTATTTATTTATTTGTTTATTTATTTACAGAAATCCCTCGTTACAACGAAATAGCTTTTTTCAAATTATCGCTTTTATCAAAGTTCAACATGGTCCTGACCGAAATGCACGCATTTCGAACCGGATTATTTTAAATGTATTGGCAGCCGACCATGCTTATTACGAAGGCCGCGGTGCCAAAAGCATGCAAGCCTACACGGAGGCGCACGAAGACCCTCGCGTTCCCTCCCTCTTCTCCCCTGAGGCATACGGCAAACTGGGAAAACACTATACTACAAGAAAATGGAGCAAATGGGTGACGGAGGGCAGCACACGCACAGCGCTGCTTCCGATGCCGATACAGGCAGGGAGCAGCGGGAGCAGCATCCACATTCCGACGCTAGTCACAGTGCCCGCGGCCAACCCTGCCAGACTCCCGTCGGAATCGGGTCAAGGGAGCGATGGAGCTGGGTGGAGCCGATGAAGCCCTAAGGAGATTATCCCCAGCGTCCCTTTGGGAGCCCTCGACGTGCGCGCCTGTGGTGTACACGCACACGTGCATCATTTGTTTACTGAAAGATGCTTAGATCTACCAGGTTGAAATAAAAGTGGCCGGTCCAAGTTCGAAATCACCAAAGTATTCGACATTCCGGCATCGGCTGTTCGACACTGTCCAGCATTTTGCAGAACAGGCAAGGCATAATGGAAAGGTTTGAGAAGTTTCTCATGCAAGAGAAAGCACGCCCGCGACCCGGAGACGAAAGATCGCCAGCTGCTTTGCGCACGTTGGATTTCCTCTTGCAAGCCCGCTTGCCTATCTGGCGCACGATTTTCAGAGCTGCAACGTTATCTACAGGAATGTGTGAAAACATGCTGGCAGAGCCATCGAGGATAGCTGACATGTTCGTGCTTGTCGATGCAGACATTCCTGTTGTTGCTCCTGCCACGGATGCTGCGAGCATAGACCTTGCATGCGGCCAGGGTAAACATGAAGCAACGTCGGAGAGGCACCTTGGGAAACGCCGACGACTGTGGAGACGCGAAACATCCTACGGCTGCTTCGAAACAAAGTGGAGTGCAGCGAAGGTAACAGTGTTCTTGCAATGCCTGGAGCGGTTCAAGGAGAACTGATGCCCAGATAAAATTATTGGCTAACACCACTTAAATATTTTTTCACTCGGCAAAGCTGCCGCTTGTTGTTCGTAACCAAGGTTTGTTTGGTTAAATATACGTCAGCATGTTCCTCAGTGTTCCCGTCCACCTTCAAGGCTCCTGGCACTGTTTTTTTGGCTCTATCACTGTTATCGAATTACCGCTTATATCAAATTTGTTTTCCCGTCCCATTGACTTTGTTATAACGAGGAATTACTGTATTTATTATATTAAATACCTCTAAAGCCTCGAGAGGGGCATTACATAGAGGGCGGTTACGTGTAATGTTTACATAGTCGCACAATATTGTGAAAAAGAAAAACAAATATAAAAAGGGACACAGAATCACGCTAAACAGAACTTAACGAAGAATAGCATGGCTCATGGTCACGCACACAGGCATCTCAATCGTGCAGGTGCTGCTCAAGAACAAAAAAATAAACACAAAGCTATTGTCATGACTATGATTCATGCAATAATGCCACAAAAGCGTCATGGTTTCTGGTGACAGCAATTTCGCTTGACAGCCCATTCCAGTCAGCCATAGCTTGTAGTACCGGGGAGAATTCACACAAGTTAGTTCTGGTGAAGAGAATATGATCTTTGTCTGTTTTCACGCAAATAAAATCATTTTCTCTTTCAGAGCAGCTGCGCTGGGCAACTCAGTGGCTATAGCATTGGACTGCCACCACACCTACCCAGGCCCAAGCTTTGCTGGGGCAACTTTCTTATGTTGATGTTCCATGGACCTCTGTAAGCAGCTTTATACATAACCTTAACGTCATGTAGGACTCCCACCTATGACGCTCATTCATGGCACTTGTTTGTGACAATTTTCACGATGAAAAGGACTCATTAAACGAATTTTGTGTTAAAATAAAACGAGGACAAAATTACAAAATATAAGAGTACAGAGCGTTCCAAGATCATTTCATTCCACATGGCTCTCTCTTGAAAACCTCCTTCTAAATTCGCAATGCGTTTGTCGTCCACGGTTGGTACCTTGAGGCTCTCAATCCACTTGAGAGTGGAACTGTAGAGCAGGAGGGTCGGGATAGAGTCTGCAGTCTCCAGTGCCGCCATCTTGGTCTCCAGAGACATCGAGAGATTCAGGTTCTGAGAACGGAACGCTCGGTAGCTGTCATGCTCCTGTAAGAAAGCGTGCCACACCCTTTACCGGAGGAAGCCACCTGTGCTAAAGCCGGTGACTTGCCAAGCTCGTTTTGTTGCGTCACAGTTTCAAACATCCCGCCTAGACACATTAATAGACTTCCCTCTGCAAAACACACTAAGACACCACAAGCTGAAGTTAACTGGCAAATTATATTAGGTAGAATACTTATCTCTGTTTCTTACATATGTATTTTATTAGCCATCCACGAAAAAGAAGGCCTTAGTTTCATGGGAAAAACTCTTTACCTACAGCTTCAGTTTTTTGTGTAGACCCCGAACACAGCACTCACTGAACAGCCCGCATGGCTGATCCTTTCTTTGGCACTTGCACTTCTCGTCCAGTTTCATTCTTTTATTGTGTGGGGATTCCTATGGTCTCCCTTCCCCGATGGCTGTGATAACGGCCGCGGGTCGGAACACTCGGCCTCCTTCGCCGTGAGCTCCGACCCCTTCGTGAGACGGAGGGCCGCCTGGCTTGGGGGGCTCTCCTCTCACTCTCCCTCTCGGGGGGACCGATTTCCGTTGCCCCGCTCGGATGCAGATCACTGCTGACAAGCGAGGAGGTTTCGCCTCTTGTTTTCCCGCTTTCGGGAAAGGGACTCGTCCAGGTGACCGCGAAAGAGATAGGACGTGTGTCGGCGACTTCTCCGAAGCTTTCCCCGGTCTTGGCTATCCGGAACCTTGCGTCTGGCCAGGTAAGGACCTTTTCTTACCTTGCCGGCGCAGGGGGCATTTTGGATGGGGACATTGTAGTTCATTTTAAGAGTGTTCTAATAAATGCTCTTGTACTCTGTCCTTACTCTGGTACGTGTGTCTTCTCTTCCACTATATTCGAGAGAGTGAGACAAGGTAGTCTATCATTGGCACCGACGGAGGTAATTAATCAAACCGACCCGCGGTAATGTAGCCCTAAACATCGTCTACATTGCCGCGGAGATGTGGGGACCGTGGGCTACTAGGTTTGACGGCTCCTTTGAGATCGCCGCCGCTGTTGAGACAACCCTTTGGTTACTCTATCGGCACCTGTGTTAGTTGGTTGCTAGCGAAATCCCAAAATTGATAGATGGATGGTGACGTTTTTCAGGTATCTTGGCCATGCATGTACTCCCTACAGAGTTGGGCAGTATCGCGATACAAATGTATCGCGATAGTATTTCAGAAATACAATTTGTATCTGTATTTCTGTATCGCGATACATTTTTTTCACCAGTATCTGTATTCCTGTATCGAAATACATTTTGAATGTTCCCTTGTATCGCGATACAATCAGGGTGAAATGTATTTCGTTACATATCTTGAGAAATACTCTCCCCCCCCCCCTCCAAAAAGAAAAGTCCAAACACAATTTTTTTTTTTTACTTTTAAGGGCACCAAGGTCAAGGAGATGCTGGGGCATTGTTACCATGCTGACAAAGGTTCCTTTTGATTCTGCAAACTATTTTTCTATGCGTCCTCTTCTCTCTTCTAAGAAGTGTTGCGTAATCGGGGACTCAAACCAGGTGGCGTGCCAGGAGTAGAGTCAGAGCACCTTCTGTTGCATGTCCTTAGGTAGGGATTTCCTGAGTCATTGTTTGCTGGCATCCGAAGCCCGCTGCTAATCGTCTCTCTTGCCTTAGCGTACGCAGTACACCCAGCCGGCAAAGCTGAGTCACAGTCCGTTGCAGCACGAGCCTGGCGGTGGTTGACTTGAAATAGTAGGATGACTCACGCAGTGAAGTTCAACACATATGTGAATGCGTCTGCGGCTGCACCCATAATATTGCACGGCTCAAGGGTATGTCATCAGCCGACGTGAAAGTGACCCGCTGCTCAGGTGATCTGAAACCCAGGAAGGAGGCCAGACGTGGCCTCGCTGTGCCGACCCAGACTTCGTACACCTGCGACTTGTCTCGAGCGCGGCGCTGTTTCTCGGAGAGCTCGCGCCTGTGCCAGCAATATCATGTCGCAATCCACGAGGTCTCTATTTGGAGTATGCAAGGCGAAACTTGAGTACTGCAATCCATGCGTCGGTGACGAAGGGTCAACAGGAAGGACCTTCACAACAGGGATGCCACCGTATCGTTTTTTCAACCGTAACTGAAGATAAGACATGTGTTCCAGGATGCTTCAGGTGGTCCACTATTCTCGAAAATTCCAAATGACACTGCCTGCACGATCTTCAACGAGGTAACCTACAACGAAAGTGTGTATTGTCCTTTCATACAGCAGCGTGGTAAAGTTTTATGTTCAAGGCCACACCTACAGATAAAAAATACCAGTTAATTCCACCGTGACGTCATGTAATAAATGTTGACAGGGGCGTCCTTATTTAACAGGGGCATGGTGACATTTTGATGGGATTTAGGATGACATGGAATTTGTTTAGAGGTCGAAGTCTTTTCGCATCCCTCGTCAGACAGACAGGGTGTCAGGAAAGAGACCGCGGTCAGTCCCTGATGGAACGTTTTTTGAGCCCATTGAAGACTCCTCGTCGTCTGAAATCACTACCTTCAAGACAAAGTGCCAAGCCTACGGGAAAGTAATTTCAGGATCAAAAACTTCCACTTCCAACTTCAAGCTTCACCTCATTTGGCATCTCAAACAAATTTGAAAAATGTATTGCAGTATCAGTATTTCTGTATCTGTATTTCTGCCCTCCGTAAAATGTATTCCTGTACTTGTATTTCCAAATACATTTTGCAGCTATTTAAAATGTATTTCCGATATGTATCGCGATACACTTTTACAGATATATTTCAGTATCAGTATTTTAGCTACTATTTTAATGTATCCCAGTACTATTTGTATTTCCAAATACATTTTTGAGTATTTCTGCCCAACCGTGACTCCCTAGAGGTTGGCGAATCTCGCCCTTGTGTTTACTGGCTATACCAAAGAGGGTCAATGAAAAATACAGAGTCCGTGTGAGGAAATAAACACAAGAAAAAAACAATGCCCCCTAACTAGAAGAAAAGTAAATCCTCAAAACACAGATTTCTACATCAACTTACGTGATGTCGACCTTGTTATTCGGGATTTGACATGATGCAGCCTCACCTAACATTTATAGAGGTCTGCTTGTCACTTTGCATTGCAACCAAAAGAAGAGAGACTTGCCTGGTTACTGGAGTATTCTGGGACCTTGTCAGGGGCACAGGGCATGATGCTGTGGTGGTCCTGAGGATTGCCCAGACAGAGCCAGTTGAACTTCATGCTGAAGAGGAAGAAGAGTACATACATTTACGTAACTCACTGATATAACAATTGGAAAACAATAAAAACGGCTGCATTTATGCGGGGCCTCGCTGAAGACTATGTCTGCGGGGCTTTACTGAAGACTAGTAGTATGTCAAAAAGCAGCTGGATTTCAATGTTTCTTCAATGGAGGCCATATTCAGTGATTAAATTGAAATAAAGCTCATCTCTTTAGTTCACTTTTGATTGTAGCAGAGCAAGCCAACTTTGCCTCTCTGTCCCTAAATAAGTGCTGTTCTCTCTTTGATGGTGTATCATTGGCACGACGAACACACTAAGTTTCAGTGGGCTGCCACCTCTGTTCAGCGATGTCCTTTTGAGTTTCAATCATTTTTCTTGCGAGGCATTCCAAAAATGACCGGAGCACTTCCAGCAAGTACTATAGGGCTTCTATCATAGACCCCTTTTGAAGGTGTGACCTCTGTCTGAAGCTGTGGAATCCCTGCACAATGGTGGACACAACTGCCGGCTCCTTGCATTCGATTACATCTCGGCTGCACCAGCCCTCGTGCAGCGGGAACACAAGCCAGAGCTACCTGCTCGCACTATACTTGCACATTTTACAGTGTCGGTTGGCAAAAACAATTGCATCGCATTTATTAACCATTATACTTTGCAAGTCTTCTCCCTGGAGCAGTGGTTGAGCGTCGGGCTCACATTCTTGGGGTACTCAGTTCGATTCCCCTTGGGGGATGAGCAGAATTCTGTTCTTTCTTCTCAAATCATTCACGTCTCCCTCTGCCGTGCATAAGCACTTGTTTCGTCTTACCGAGCAAACTTTTCCTGGAGGGTGCCAAAAGAAATGCTATTGAGTTTTAAAAAAACCCACTCACTTTACTTTGAGGTTTGGGATGTGCAGGAGCCTACTCTCGTTGTAGCGGGACGCTGTGTGCACATACATGTCCAGGTTGCCCTTCATAATGATCTTGCCTGTAACAAAGCACAAACATGTGGAGCAGAATCCTCAATACCTGCAACCCGCAACAGTTACAGGGCTGCCACCTAGGCACAAAGAACTTGAATAGCATTCATACTTAAGGAAGTCCATACTCTTAACTCCGTTTGTTAAATGGTAGAACTGTTCCGACATATCCTCAATGAACTCAAACTTCCACTTCCTCCCCCCAATCGGTCAGCTGCAAACATTTCCCCCATTCTCCTATCGAGAAAAGAATGTTTTAAGCTACTTTTAAAGCAATGTCTACTCCTACGAGTCACATTGCGTCAATGCCTAGCCTCGGTCAATCTTTACAGCGTCCATCAACATGCATATGGCATATTGGGAGGCAGTTGCACCCGGGTACCCTCGAGTAGTCTTTCTCAATCGTGAAAAGGCTGTGCAGTGTGGTACCACAGTTACAGAAATGCATCCTTGGTCAACGTGTCTGGTGTCCTATACTGCCCAAACACTGAAAGTGGTTTTGAAATAGCAACAAATCACGTCACAGGAGCCAGCATGTCACGCCGTCGGATGTCACAATTTTGACGGTTGGTCGTAAAAGTTACGGCGAAAGAGACGAGCAAACGCAAGTGTTACTGTTGTCCCAACTCGCAGCTGCTGAAACCTCCACGGACTGCCAAGATGGAGAGCCGACTACAGCAGAAATGGCGTCTGCCGCAACTACGCCCATCGCTGTGCCAGTGCCCGGATCGTGGCAGGTAACGGCATGATGCAAGGGCAATGTCACCAGGTGGAAATCGAGAGATTACAAACGAGGACGCGGTCCGGTCGGAGACGGATTCTGGCACCCTGGCGGTACCAACCATTTGTCCAGTCCACGATGGCGTCGGTCCAGGCCACCTCAAAGAGCTCGGTGTCGTTGTACGGATGGAGCGAGACGTGCTGCAGCATGGACAGCTGGCGGGCAGACACCGTGAGGCGGCCGTGCAGCAGCAGCCGGGCCTTGTCCCACCAGGCCAGGGGCGGGCTTAGGTCGGCCGAGGGGCGGTTCACCCGCTCCAGCGCCAGGTTCACCTGGGCCACCACGGGGTCCCAGCACGAGCCGTACGTCATGCTCAGGTAGCCCAGGTCTGCAGCGTAAGGAAGCACAACCCACTTTCTGCCTCGGTGTTGACAGGGCCCAGGTGCAAACTGCTGGGCTAGTTGGGTAAACTTGCTGAGGCCCATTCACGCACGTGGCACGCCAGTGAGATGCAGCAAATTGAGCGGTTTGTCTATGGCACCGAGTTAGCAGTGTCGTGTATGCGTGAACAGGTCAACATAAATAGTGATACGGACAAGAACAAGTAGAGGAAGAACTTTTACATGTCCATGTCCATGTCCACAGCGCTATTTGTGTTTTGATTTTCCATAGTTCAAAGAGAAATAGATGTGTTCGTGGCTCCATTTGGTGGGGCATGCGCTGCAAGCAAGAATGCGGGTTAACAGTGAACACTGAACACAAAGTCAAACTAAAGGGTACATTTATGTCTCATTTATCTACTAAGACATTTCTTTTGACGTCGTTTCACGGTCTCTAATAAGGAAATATAATTAAACTATTTCGATGAGTGACCCATGTTGATCAAATGGGAACGAAGGTTAGAAAGCCGCCAAAAGACAGAATTTGGTGGGGCCGGAATTTGAGCTCTCGGTCTCATCATTACTGTAACTAATGTCATGTTTCAGCGTCTTTTTAACCATCATTCCCAAGTGATCAGTGCCATTCAATCATCTGCATATTTTGATTATCTTACTTTCAGTTAACTTAATGTTTGCCAAGCCTAACTGTAAGACCAGAATTTCTTGTCCGAACAGTTTGGATTTGAACAAATAAAATGTGCAGCTGTCTTGTAGATGCAACATGCTGGTTACTAACATGACAAACAAAAAAAGGAAAAAAAAAGCTGGAAAATGTTAAGGGGACAGACCCTTGGGGAGGGTCAACTTTAGAACCTCTGGTTTAAAATTAATGAAACTTACAGGGTGGTCATGCTAGAGGGTGCATAACAAAATTTCAAGTCGGTTGGTTAAATGGGAAGGAAATAAGGGCAGCTTCTATCAGCAACACGCCTACATTGTTTAGTTAATCTATCGTCAGAAAACTATCACAATACTCAGGATTTTTATTCACTAGATATGTAGCAGAATGCCTAGGGGGTGTGGCTATGAAGATTTTTTGTAAAAAGTCATTTACTTCTATAAATTTTCTCTTCTGCAAAATTGGCCAACTTTCTGGCCTTCTGTGTCTTCGACTAAATGTCAACATTTAGTCGATTTCACATAGAAAAAGTGAAGAATGTGCCTTCCCTGTAATGCTATTATCAAACGATAGATTGACTAAATTGGAATTTATACCAAAAAGTGGAACGGAAAAAATATGTTCAAAGTGCTCCAAAGCCTCCCTTTTCTTTAGCTTCAGTGGACAGAAAATAACTTTTTTCAGTGGACAGAAAATAACTTTTCTGTCCACTGAAAAAAAATATGTTCAAAGTGCTCCAAAGCCTCCCTTTTCTTTAGCTTCAGTGGACAGAAAAAATTAACTATGCAGCGTAAACTAAGTAAACTTTCTGGGAATACTCTCTAGATGTTGATGGATGTAAATATGTCATTTTTCAAATCAATGTTTTTTGCAGAAGTTTTTTTTTCTGGGTAGTGACTCCCCTTAATAAACAATCTCGTGTTTTTGAAGGTCTTTTACCGCTATAAATAAGATGCAAAAGGAACAACCTTCCAATGATGAGCGATATACTACGAGCAATTGATCAAAGCGTGATGGTAAGGATGTCTACAGTTTGTACCCCAATCTGTTAAAATCTCAGGCTCAGCTCCCGCTTTGCAGTGCTAAGATTCTGCTGTAAGATTTTTAACTGACTAGGTCACTAGAGAAATTTTAAATTGAAGAATAAAAAGGAAATGATGTGAGACAATAAAACAATTGCTGCAAATTTTTTTTTAAGGCAAGGAACCAGTAAGTTGAAAGCAAAAGTGAAGTTTACATCACTCTCCCAGACACCCGACACATATTCACTATAGCATAAAAAGAAAGGAAGAACTATATTCAAAAACTGTTTGTGTTCTAACGATGCTTCCAAACATTACACAAACCTCACTCCATGCAGTGCCAGTTAATGTTCCAATATTCACACAGAACAACACTGAGAGGCAATCACTGCAAATCTACAGAAGGATCCCACAAATGAGAAGCCTGGAAAATGCTTCAACTACAATGCAAAAGCTGTTCTTATTCTAAACAAGTGGATTGTGGTGATAGCACATTTCACGAGACATGATTTGAGGCCCAATGTTATCCCTGCCTTGTAATTGGCTAGCTTCCTTCCAAAGACAGCAATGATTGGCTCCCCATTTGTCCCATGAAAAAGTAGACACATGGGGCTTTTCCACGAAAATAAACCTATGGCGCGTTACACTAACGCTTCGAACTCACTTTAGATAAGTGGTTCTCAAATGGGGGTCTTCTGGGTTCTTCTCGGGGTCCCTGAAGACTTAGACCGTCAGTTAAGCCGAGCACTAAAACTTTGTTTGATTGATGCTGGCTGCAACACAAAGCTAAATAAACGAAACCTTGTGCACTGAGTGAGTGTGGTTGATTATTCACTGCTTCAGGGCTGCAAAGTTGGTTTGCATGCATTTAGTTTTCTTAGAAGGGGTCACCGAAAAATGACTGGTTGAGAACCATTACTTTAGATGGTACGCAAAAATTGGTTTCCTAACCTATTGCACTGCAATCTGCTACAGAGGCACGACTAGGTGGTGGAAGCTTGGAGTGAAAACATCTGCGGTGTCTTGTCGGGGCAGCAGACAAAAATAGACCAAGGGACTGTTGGAGCTTGTTTATTTCAGGAATGTGACAAGCAACAGACCTGACTCGCACTATAGAAACTTGGTTGCCTAATACCCCTTCACTACACACAATAGCAGCACCGCCGCTATAGCCACAGCAGCACATGCCTGGAGGTTACTATGTAACATTATCAACAAATAAACTTGCCTCATCAAAAAAGAAAAAAACAAAAAAAAAACTGTTTTGGGCAATTTGTTGCGGCATTCACAGACGTTATCATGACTGTGCTCGTAATGTAAAGTTCTGAAAGTAGGGCAATTCATTCACTTCTCAAAAACAAACTGATTAGAAAAACAGATTTAAATCATTCATGACTCTCCATTTTTTGGTAGGCAGATGATAAATCAAGGCGTCACATACGCTCGTGTCTCCCATTGCCGCCATCTTTCGGCAACACATACAACTAGGTGAGCACGGTCACGACATCGTCTGGGGATGCCGCTGCAAATAGCCTGCAACAGGTTTTTCTTTATTTTTATTTTTTGAACGAGGTAAGTTCATCTATTGGTATTTTCACTCCAAGTTTCCACTACCTAGCCGCACCTCTGTTGAGAATCGCAGCGCAATACGGTGAAAAACTGATTTTTGCAGATCGTCTCAAGTCGTTAAGGCATTAGCGTACATGCGGTGTAGTCAGGTTAATAGAACAAGTTTCACTGAAGATACCAGACAGAGAGACGCATCAAGTGAAGGTGCGATACTTGCCCCAAGTGAGATCATGATAGAACTTGAGGGAAGACATGCTCCTTTCCACAGTCATGTTGGACCAGGGGTAACCCACTTCCACCACAGATGTGCGTTTGGCTGCAACATATTACATTCATGTTTGTGAACTCTGTGATTAATGTAGTGCAATGATGAACTCATAATATGGTAAATCAAGTAAGAGTTAAATCCATACTGGCAAAAAGGAGTAAAACAAAAAGTCAGTTTTGAAATTTAGTGAACAGTCATATGAACCTGTTTATTATTCAAAACATGGAACCTCAAAAATATTTTAAAATTTTGAAGCTGATCATGCTCTCTCTATGAATGCGCAGGCAGTTATCAGGCCCCTGTTTGAAGCCATCACACTTCAGCCTCACATTTGTCATAACAGCAAATGAGGGGACTACCTCAAAAGGGGACATGCTTCAGGAAAAAACTTCTTTATTATTTACAATAACTCAATGAAATTATTGCAGTTTGTAGTGCTTGATCTCCTTTTGTTATAAATCTGGTGTTAGTCTTGATAGAAGTTGTTCTTTTGTGTCTTGAGTGCAATGCACAAGAAAAAAAAAACATGCTCTTCCGCACACGGGGGGAATGGCAGCACACTCAAGAATACACAAGTAAAATGTGCTGATTTGCTCTTTTTGAGCCACTGAGTGCAATGAGCCACCAAAATAATATGTGTGAGACCTTTAATATTTTAAAATAATTGAAAATAACAAAAAACGGCTTTTTCAAAGGGCTAATAAAAGTTTTTTTTTTTTCTTTTTTAAGTTTTAATAAATAAAACATATATTCTTATCATGCCCTGATGGTTGCATTCTGCATATCCTAAAGCATATGCATGTCCAATTTGGTTGTGATGAAACAATATTAAGAACACAAATTCTTGTGCACAAACTGTAAAGTTGACTCAAAATTAGAAAAAAAAAGAAAAACATGTTCAAATATTATTATAGATTGTAATAATACTCGTTCATGGCGGAAAAAAAAATGTTTCATTAACTTTCCCTTAGAAATTTAAGCACACTCGGAAATGGCCCAAATTTATGCCTTTCTCGGTCACCGGGAAGTCTTCAAATGTGTATTTGAGCAATTTCACAATCATATTCAGTCCTTATTTTTTTATACAGAGATAGTGAAGATTCAAAAATAATAAAACAGCCTAAAACAAGAAATAATGCTTTTTTTCAAAACACTGCCGTTTTTTGGCCCGCATCTCCCCTTAATCAGTCGGATATCACCTTTTGCAAGGGGATACCCTCTATTCATACAATGTAATTTGGCTTGAAAATTTGAAGCTCTGATACCAAAGAAAACACTGCTAAATTTGTATTGCACAGGAACTAGTTTGGTATAATGCATCATGGTAGAAGGCTCAATCTAGTATGTAATTAATGCATATGTTTCCTTTACACTATATACTTGCTCAAGCAGAGCCTTTTATGTCTCCAGTTTAAAGAATAAACATGGTGAGGTATTTCTCGCAAAATTTCAGTACATCTTAATAATCTCACTGAGAACAAGCTTCAAAAATAAAAAAACATTCATATTAATGCAATAATTATTTCGAAGGTTAAAACAATCTTCAGAAAGCTAAAAAAAATTGTCAATTCATAAATTTATGGAAAGACAAATTCTTGCATACCGTAATATCCCGAAAGGTAGCCCACCCCTATTGTTGGCACGATTTGCTATTTTTTTTTTCTGAAACACGGAAAGATAGCCCACCTCTAGCAATTGCAGGGCCCTGGCCAATGGTGATTTCAGCAAAAACAGTGTCCCTTAACCATAGCGGGAGGTAAGCGAACATTGCTGACAGGAAAGGACAGTCGTCTGGTTCACTGCCCCTTCCTGCGATCACAAGTTTTGAGGGTCACAAAATCTGAAACTAGCATTTCTTTAACTTTTTTTTTATGCCACACCGAAAGTTGATTTACCCCTTGTTTTCCTCCGATTTGCTATCGAATTTAGGTGGGCTATCTCTCGGGGTATTACGGTATGCTGAGAGTACAAGACTCCCACTGCTACTAATATGATTTTATGAAGGGCAGTCTATTTCAGACTTTCAATATGCCACAAGTTTCTTTCAACTATTTTCAGTCATTTATTTACAAAATTTCCAGACTAGTAATTCAACACAGTTTACTATCAAATCTGGATTGCCATAGTAAACATATCGCTAAAAAATTATGTGAAAAAGAAAAAAAAAATCCTAGTGCCCAGCTTTGGATGCAAACTATATGGTGATGCATGTAGTGTTCATGTTGAAAAAAACTTAAAATTTTATACTGTGGTGATGTAGCGGACGTGAGGACAATCACACTGAAGGTGCCAATGGCCTGCGGCTGGATGTAGTATGATTAGATCATAGCTGCCACGTTACATAAACCAAATTCGCAATACTGTAAATTACTTGATTTTATATTACTTGACAATATTTCATGAATTTTGGGGAGTGCGGGTTTCGGGAACATTTCACGGGTACAAAATTTCACAAATGGGAGTGATATGTTATGTATGTATATGTAACCATGGGGTAATTGATATAATCGTGAGATAAAATTTGTGCAAAAAAAAAACAAAAACAACTAGAATGTTTAGATACTTCATTCGGACTTTGGCCAATTAACTGCGGAAATTAATCTCCGCCACCTATGAAACGATGAACAAAAAGTCATGCTTTCTTGAGCATGCTAGCTTTAATTAAAAAAATGAAACAAATCGAAGATTAAAGTGCCTCTCCACTCTCACGCTGCCTTTCAAGTGACGTCTTCTGGGGGATCACCTAATTTCCCGTAGATTTCTCTCTTCAGATACCGCTTCCTATGCAATTGTTGACTTTTTAAGGATTAGCATCGCCGAAGGTCGTAGCAAATGTTCGACACAAAAGACGGTTTGCCCCGGGGCTGACGGCGAGTACAGCAGCAGAGGGAGACAGGTTTTGTTGATTTTCGCAAATAATTTGTTTTTCCTTTGCGATTATGCAGCGGAATAGCAGTTTTTGAAGGCAAGGAGGCACATTTTTTAATGCTGAAAGCTTTAACTGTCTCATGGAGCGAGCTGATGTCATTAGTTTGAAGCGCAAAAATGGCTCCTAGTTTCCGTGATCCCAATAGAAACGATTCGCCTTCAATTCTATTGGCTGACGCGCGTCGACGGGGTTCCCATTGGCCGCTGAGAAATGGCCTCCGAGATCCCGAAGCGCGCTAGTACGCAGCAGACGACAAAGGGAGCGGACGAGCGGCTTGCATGCTTTCGCATTCACAACTCTTAAAAAATGCTTAGGTGTACTTCGAGCTTTCTGTCAATTGTGCCTAGATAAACAATATAAAAAATACAAACTGCAAATTCTTTTAACATTAAAATCGCTGCACTATCCCTTTATAGTAAATTTTCCAGAAAGACCATCTTTTATTATTCCAATCATTTCAATCAATCAATCAATCAGTTTATTTTTTCTTTCAAGGGGTACACACACCTCGAAATGGTACCTTGGTGCAAAAGGCGATCGTGTCGCCTGACTGGGCACCAAGGTCCAATGGGGGGGGGGGGAAGGGGGGCAAAATCCAGCAGCAACAGCAATTAAGGTTAAACTTCGACAAGAGAAAAAAATACTTATACAAGATATAACGGATACACACATACATACACTCAAGAGAAAATGGATGCATACATAAAATTGTAAAGAATGAATACTAGCACACATTGATGTTGTTTAACATTATCATAAAAACAAAGATTAAAAAGTAATATAAGACATCAAGAAAAAACGAAATAAATAAAAGTAAGAAAAGCACTTCGGTATAAACCATAAAAGTGAAGAAGCTAGAATACATTCCTAAATTCCCGGCACATATAAAAATAGCAATCTGGCATTGTCCACACAATAAAATTAAAATATAAACGTGATCGCAAGGTATACAAGATTTTTAATAAAAGCGGATGCACAAAAAATGCGGGTTAAAATTTAAAAAAAAATGTATTTCAACATATCTATAGAATTATCAACTCAGTGGCAATCAAAAAGGAGCGTAGACTTTTTTTAAATGTAGTTCGGTTTGTAGTAATTATGAAATTATTATTACCAACAGCATTTAAAAGCTGGGAAACCTGAAAATTGATCATTTGTTTTCCGTAGTTAGTCCTAATAGATGGTAGTCTGTATGTCCTTGTTGTCCTTAAGTTATATTCAGACAAATTTGCAGGAATGAGGTCAAAGCCGCTTATTCCGTTTCTATGAATAAGCTGCCCAAGCTTATAATGGTAAAGTTTAGAAAGTGGAAGGATATTTAATCTGTCAAATAGGCTTTCGGCTTCACTACAGTGATTCGAGTTGGTCATTATTCTTAACATACGTTTTTGTAAACTTACAAGTCCATTATAATTCGTTTTAACCGTGGTGCCCCAAACTAGTAAACAGTAGTAAAGTTTTTGATAAAAGAGGGTGTAGTATATCTGTACCTTCAACCATGTCGGTAGGAGGTCTTTTGTCTTATAAATTATTCCTATTGTTCTAGAGAGGTCACTTTTTATATGCTCAGTTTGCGTTGTCCAGGATAGTTTGTCATTAAACCATACCCCTAAGAATTTGCAATCAGTTATACGGTCTATAATGCAATTGTTTATTGTCAAACATGGCAGTTTATTGATCTTTTTATTTTTTGGCGTAAATAACATATACTTTGTTTTTGAAGCATTTAATTGCATTTTATTTATGTCGAGCCACCTGTTTAAATTGCATAGGTAGTTATTAGCTTCTTGTTCTATTTCATCTACGGAAGTACCAGAAAAAAAGAGACTAGTATCATCAGCATACATGACTAAGTTTGGAGAAACTGAGATGTTTACAATGTCGTCTAAATAGATTATAAAAAGCAGAGGTCCTAATACTGATCCCTGAGGGACCCCATATTTAACAGTCTTAAGATCAGAATGGATGTCATTGATTTGTACGAACTGCTCGCGATTTTGTAGGAAACTCTTTATTAAATCCAATGCTTTACCCCTAATGCCATAGCGGGGAAGTTTTTGTAGTAGGATGTCATGATTGATGCTGTCGAATGCTTTTCGAAAATCCAAGTATATGCCAA